CACTGTATATCACAATTTAACAAAACTAGCCTTTTAAATTTAGGAATATTGTTTAATAAGTCATAATATGATATATATTGAAAATCTATCTCGTGGTGGCATTTTTAAATTCTTTGTATAAGAATAGTGAAAGCGATACAAATATCAAAATATTGAGTGCTAGTTTCAACTACAGGATGTATCAGAGCATCTTCTTCTTGTTTATATCACATTTTACCCAGATTCATTCCAGAGACTGAATTCAATGCAGAAACCAATTTGTTCATTTCGTCATCCGACAATTCGTCTTTGAATTCGTCCTTCGCATTCTCCAAAAATTCTTGAAAAGAGCCGTTGTCCTATATATATATATACAGATAAATAACAGTAAGAAGATAAAATGCTAGAAGAATGATGAAAGAAATAAAGAAGGATCAATAAGTTTTAAAAACAGACCTAACCTCGCTTTTCAGATAGGCCAGTTTTTCCAAAGAATCACGATCCCATCCAAGAAGTTTGATACCGGCTTTATCAATCCCACCCAATTACTTTTCTGAATAAAAATCGTTTTGTTTTATTATAAGCTAATATTCTATTATCAGTCATGTATAATTATCTAGTTAATTCTGAACTAGTGATTCCAATGTGCGTACACTCTATCTTTCCACTTTGACTTTAAATAAGCTTTATCATTAATAAAAATGTGTTTATCACACTGATGGGAAATTGCACAGCAGAAAAAAGTAAGTTCCGCCTAGTGATATTCTCCATGTTTTGGGAAGCATTGAAGAAAGCCCGATTTCCCTGTCCGATTGTAGCGAGTATAATCGTTTTAACTAAACAGATGCCTTATCGCAAATGTTCACCAATCATTAGTTTTTAGGTGGATGCGTTTGATACGAGATCGAGTTCTCTGTACAATCAATTTATTTACAATCTGTCAAATTATATTATTTAGTTAAGTTTTCAGTTCATCCTTATCTGTAATTTAATTTCAAATAATATGCCTTTACTTCGGATATCGACATGGAGTTAAAAAAAACGTTGAAGAATATTGACCAACTCCCCAAATAAGAATCTTTGATTTAATTGTATTGGAATTGTTTCAACATTTTTATTGTACTTTTTCAAATTCTATTAATTATACGCGATCTGTGCCACAAAAAAAAGATGATAATAATGAACACCCGACTGTGCCTACACTGAGCTCGAGCAGTAAACACTACAAGATAGTTATGTGCACATAGGCTGAAAGAGCACCACAAAAAGCACAATAATAACTCTTGTGATATATATTTGAAAATTTCGCTGGGCCATTACCTGTTTAGCAAATTCTTCACGATGCCTACTTTGAAGTGAAATACACATCGAATATTGTTATACGATACAAATTTCCACAGATCAAATGGGAAAGTACCTATAGAGAGAACCGGCACTTATGGGGAAAGTCGACAGACATTCGCAAAGTACTCTAAAATTGCCACTACGATCTCACTAACTTTCTCTACGAATACTATACATAAATCCTTATTAATTTCATTTACGAACGCCAAATTTACTTTGACTTTAGAGCATTGTTTGATATTGACTCGAACGTCCGAGAGACAACCAGTGAAGATGTCTTTGATGAATAAATATTGACATGGGGCAAAACGGCATTTTTTCATTATCATTAAATGTTACGGATATGTTTGTTGTTCCCTAATCTAAAATAACGTAATTTCAACTAAATCTACATTTTCTGGTTAAATAAATATTCCGCCATCTTTAAAAAATATTTCAATTTTAAATGACTATTTAATTTCTAAAGCTTGATTTATAAAATCATTTTCGGATGGAAATATTTAATCGAATAATTATTTTTAGGAAAAACGTATTATTCAACCGTAGACCATGAACCCTACTCCACAATACAACATGCCTTATATCGCGTCTGCATTTAATTCACGAACTAGCAAAATATGGTTTATGTACACACACCCAGGGATATCCCCAAATGAAACCCCATTTTCGAAACATTTATCGAGAATGGTGCAACAACACCATTAACTTTAGTTAAATATTAATCTTCAATTCTTCTGCTATTTATTTCAGCACATTTGTTATTGATCATCAGAGGAAGTGAACACCTACGTGAGCTCGCTGCTGTTACGATTTACAGTTTGAATTCCGTAAATTTGTCGGTACGACTGTCCTATGCGAGATCCAATAGAATGAATATGAGAACCGAGAGAAATCACGCCGGTCATCCAGATCTCTTTCGAGAATGGCGAGGAAAATGGTCCGAATTCGTTACTGTTATGAAGTGGAGTCGGGGGCGGGACAGAAACGGCTCGTACGAAGAAAGGAATGGTGAAGGATATCGTCTGAGAAGAAGAGATATGGAAAAGTTGGATCTTTTTGCTGGGGATGATGGAATTTATGAGTGAAAAATTAGGGGAGCATTGGGGGAAGTTGTGTATGTTGGGAAATCGGAATCAAGCTCATTTTGTTCCGTACTGGATCGAGTAGATCAATATTGTACAAACGGATCCCATCTTGCTGCAAGAATCGACGACGTTTTAGGAGAGGATCAAGCTTTGCAGGTAATCTTTCAAGCTTTCGTTTCTTTGCGAAGTTGTCAAGGGTAAGTCGGTGCACTATTTTCCGCATGATAAAAAATATTGTATTTGTGCCTACGATCTTTCAAAATCTAGTAGCTCCCTACGTCTGTTTCCCTTATTTCTGGAACAGGTGTAATAAATCCGGGGTCAACGCTGATTTATAGTCACGCAACCATCAACCTGAATGTAGATTGTGGTTTCGGTGATTGTTTACAGAGCTTGTAGTAAGTTGTCCACTCCTATTTCAATTAAATTTGTTTCTGCAATTTTACATCGATTATTGGCTTATATATATGCCCAATAAATCAACCTAACGTTCCTAACTGAAATCTTAATACAATTGCTTATGCAAAACAAGTATCGCGTATCCCAGGTATGGATGCTTGCATTCTAAATATAGGTAGCATCATGTTTCAGGTACGTGTACTGTTGGAGATGTACACTGGTGAAGATGCTGGGAAAATGGAGAAGAAAGTGCTAAAAAAGTATGAATACCCATGGAATATGCGTTCCTAACGCAGCGAATTGTCATTATTTTTCATTGCCTATTGAAAGTTTGAACAATTTGAAAAATAAGTGAATAAATGTGTATTGAATCTACAGACTAATGTGAGCCATAATAATTATTTTGAGACTAGATTAAAATATGAATGAATTACTAATTAAAATATAAATGAAAAACTAGTGTAATAATATGTTTTAAGAGAATTAGGGTTAGATTGTTTAATAAGAAATGCTTCGGCTGGAATATCAGAATACAGGGCTCGGGTAAGTAGTGATGGCATGCATTGCAACAGTTAGCTTCAAAATCTCTTTGTAATGTAATATTCCTCTTCGAGAATTCCATGTTCGTGAATATTACTGGATAGGTCATTTTTAAACTGCAGGGCCGCGATTGAATTACATCGTTGAAACGAACTTCCATGTCATTGTGTACTTCTTGAATTGGAACTGATTGATACACATGATGAACTAACTGTTTTACCGGATAAAATTGTTTTCAAGTCTTGACGGTTTCATTTCATCTTTTGTAAACGTTTTAGTACACATCAGACGCATCGGTTGCAAATCAAAATTTTGGACTGAAATAAGTTCATATGGTAACTAGGGATGGCGGAATCGAGTCCGGATTCGATTACAGAATCGATTCTTCGCGAAATCGACTAGAATCGATTCCGATGCATTGGAATCGATTCTCGAGGTCAAAACTTAGATTGCAAACAATGTGTAACCTTTTGTGGAAATTTCTTCACAATATGCATAAACTGTTTACTGCTATGTTGAGTTGCTACGACGCCGCAAACTTCATTAGCCTATGTATATATATATATATATATTTCGCGAGAAGGCTTTTATGTTTATTTATTTATAAAAACTCCTTGGGTTCTGAAGGATTCTTTTTTTGTGCGATTTTGTCTCCTGTGACAGATTGGATACCGATACTACTTAGTTTTGGCCTTCTTGTCCGTCTATGTATTTAAACATCGCTCTCTTGTTTGATTTCATATGATGTTGCTTAGGTGGGTATGTTTCTCGGTGAGATATGTGGAGGAATCGAGATTCAGAATCGAGAATCGGAATCGAAAATTTAGGAATCAGATAGAAATCGAATACTTGTAAGTAGTCATACTTAGCATCCTTAATGGTAACTTCTACTATATTACCTAAAATGTTGTTCCTTCCTTTTTATGTCTGAGTCGGTTATTGCGAATGCCAAGAAGGCATGGTGCCATTCCCGAAGTCATTATAATGCACGGGTTACATGTTGTAATGAATTACTGACTGAGGGATAACGCGTTCATCATTCGACTTATCGATGGCGACACCATCTAGTACAGAAATCCGTCAAGGATGTTCTCTTTCGACAATCACTCTCAACTTGATGATGGAAGTCCTCTTTATGGGTGTCGAGAGTTTGCCGGACTTCGTTTACCGGTTATGATGTGCGCCGGATGTGATTGCTAAGGCTGCATCAGGGTTAATCAATGGATAGATCAGATTATGAGTGAATTAGTATCATTTTATGCTTCAAAAAAATTAGGGTCAAGTTGTATGGCGAGAATTCTGGCACTTTCGCTTAGTCTGGCATATCATATTAAGAGACTCGGGTAAGAAGTGGTTACAGGTATTGCGACAGTCAGCTTTGTTGAGATTCCAAATGAAACGCGAGAATGAGACAAGAGTTGGATCGCAGACTAGCACGAAAATTATTTGCAGAACTCGAATAAAGGTTCAACTACTGTTTAATTAAAACAAAACATCGCGATGGGCGCAAACCGGTGTTGACGAGATGTGATTTCTGTCCAGTGCTGTGGCTATGCGGCGAATGAATATGTATAGCAGATACGAGCATATGTTCTATGCCACGCCCTTAAAATAATAAAATAATACCAGACAAATTCCGCTCAGTTATTTATTTCTTGTCGGAATCAATCCGCAATGTAATATGCTCCAACTAATTCAAATACCTCGATAAAGAAAAATACTATAGCATAACTTTCACTAAATTTCAAAAACAATATGGCCACATTTTTGATTCAAGTAACATGGCACACACATATCTAAACTTGACGTCTCGCATTTTTCCTTTTTTCCAGTTGTAGATATTCATGACGTATTTTGAATGAGAGCTGGCAAATTTATTATCTTGTCATATGAATTAGTAAAGCAGCATTCGGAACTTAACGCATCATTGCGGTTCTCAGGAGTAACTTCTCACGAAGTTGATCAGTAGCTTCCTTTAAGCTTTCATTAACTTCTACATCGTTGCTTTTCATATTTTGAGCAAATTCTTCAATTTCGTCTGTTTAAAGACAAGGAACAATAAATAAATTAACGCGAATAAACCTATATTCGAGTGATTGGAACTTTGTTTGATACGAAGTAATGTATGTAAGTATTAAGTCATATGATATTGGAAATCTGTGTCGTGATGGCAATTAGTATGGAAAATGCACCAATTGCATTTGTAGATATCGGTATGATTTTTTAAATTGTTGCTAAAGGAATAGTTGAAGCGATGAAATTAACGAAACATTGAAAATAAACAAGTGCTAGTTTCAACTACAGGATGTATTAAAGCATTTTCTTCTTGTTTATATCACATTTTACCCAGATTCATTACAGAGACTGAATTTAATGTAGAAACCAATTGGTTCATGTCGTCATCCGACAATTCGACTTTGAATTCATCCTTCACATTCCCCAAAAATTCTTGAAAAGAGTCGCTGTCCTATATACAAATAAATAACAGTTATATGACAAAATGATAAAAATGATAGAACGATAAAAAAAATAATAAAAGATGAACGAGAAAAAAAAAAGATAACCTCGCTTTTCAAGTAGGCCAGTTTCTCCAAAGAATCACGATCCCACCGAAGAAGTCGAAGGCCAACTTTAGCAACGTGGCCAAGTACTTTTCTGAATAAAAGTCATTTTGTTTTATTACCAGATAATATTAGTGCACAATTCATAGACTGACATCAAGGGATTCAATTACTATTAAATTTACCCTGCTGTATGCCATCCTCTACGTTTCTTTCCCCGGCGTCGTCTCCGACCCCAGGAATCACCATGTTGAATTGCCAACAAAGCAACAAGCAGCAATAGAACGAGAAACTTGAAATTCATCTATAAAATTCATAATGTAATATTAAGTTATAGTTTCTAGTTTCTGAATATACTTTATTTTTATAACGTATTTTCTACGTTCTTCAATTCTTTCTGTAGTGCAAATAAAGTGCGGAGATATCAACTTGAAGGAAAACATTCCACGGTTAAAAGTAATAAACACGGCGTCAGTTTTGGTAAAACAAAGAGCAATAAACTTTCATGTATGTAATCAGATAATGTTTCCATTGGTGGGGCAATCTGGGGTTAAACATTTCTCAATGCGCCAAGATCTACGCATCAAGTCGAGCACGGGGAGCTGAAATGTTGAAAAAAAATTGAAAACAAAAAGCCAATTTTCATCATCAAGACGAACCGTTTAACAAATGATACACAAATAAATACTCAGATTCACCCCTTACCTTTAACGTCTTCTGAGTGTAGATACGACTCAATGTGATTCTCAACAAATTCTTCGTGTTTATATACGTTTTCTAATGGGGATTTTCCCCAACAGCTTGACTACTTCAACACGATTTTGAATAGTTTTATAATAAAAAAAATTTTAGGCATCTATAAACAGCAAATTATTCATTCCCCGTCGACATATGCTTTACAGTTTAAGAAATATTTTCTAATATAAATATATGAAACCATATGCTTGTTAACTTAAAAATAACTTTAGTGGCGAATTTTATGAAAATCCCATAATTGAAAGTCGAATGCACAACAATATTGGGCTTGTAGGCTAACATACGTTTTAAATGTAGTTCGTTTACTATTTTAATCAGCTTCTCGTCTGGATAAAAACTGTTGTGAATCACATTCGTAACGTTGTTGTTTTGTCCTTCAGTTTCGATTCTAAAAAGCTTGATATCGTGACATTGGAAGACTCAAAAATGAGAGTTTACTGAAGACAGAACGTGACAAATGTATTTTGTTTCAAGTTGTGAAATATATGATTGAATTAACATGAATGTAGATAATTTTTGCATCGTTCCATTTGTTTTGGCAGTGATTAGAAGTTTCTACAATTCAAAGATATTAGATGGCAGTAAGCCAGTAACAATTAGTTTAATTAGATAGCCAACCGCTTTCATTACATTTCCTAGCACTAGTGCAAAGTAATGGTGTCCCTACGTAATGAAGAAAAGCCTAAATAACTAGGATTTGACCAAATACCTAACTTGTGCTTCAATCGACTGCACGTGTAGAATTATTAATATATACCAACTTTTAATATTGATGATGGCTAGACATGATGATATTTCACTCGTTCCTAGCTGGAATATCCATATGATATATCTGAAATAACATGATGAAAGCATAAATATTTTGTGAAAAATAAAAACCTGCTAGCATGAAGTTATGACTGACTAATCAATCGGCTTTATCAAGAATGAACTAAGATAAAAAATAAAAAAAAACATCCGCTAGAATATTCATAAGACGCAAAGAAATGCGCAAAGCTTTAAGAGAATTTCGTCAACTTGTTGGCCTGACAAATTGTGGGTCATTACAAAATAATGCTTATTCAGTGGAATGCTTATTCAAAAAATTTTTATTTAGAAAATTCGGAGCTTTAGCGGAAAAATAAATAACACCAAATTGCTGTGACAGGGACCAGAAATCCATACGTTTTTACTTCTTTTGTATCTTTCACAATGTACGTCTATATTATACGTTGAATATGGCTTGATTTAGGGGATCATTTGAAATTATGGTTCAAATATTTCTACCACATTTCTGTTTTGCTGGAGATAAGCTTTCGACGATAAAATATAGAATGAAAATAAAGCACGAATAACTCCGCTAAAACATATAAAACTTTTTTCTGACCAGCAAGCAGTAAAATATATAGTGTAGACACAGCTTTAAAGACCGAAATTGGCGTTGAAAACAATGTGGATAGTAAATTTATATATCAGGGCAATAATTTTAGCACAGGTGTCAACTTTAGTACATAGTATCACAAACACAAAATGTAGCTTGTGGTTTCATTGACTATTTACAACCCTTGCCGTTATTTTTCCAAGTGTATGCCGAGAGACTTATTACTTGCAATTCTACATCTTAGGTTTCTACATGCCTGTCTGAGAAATAATGTCTCTAACGTTCTATACGTGATATCAACGCTTATTCAAGGCATTGTCGCTAATAACTTATTTAAAATATCAATGGACTATGAAGCTTCTCAATTTTATATCACGCTTCGTTAGGAATAAAGTAAAACTAATTTATCTTTTGGGCGAGAAGAGCATTGCTGCCAGATGGTGCTGCATGTAATAGGTAATTTCATGTTTTAGGTGCGTGTGCTGTTTTAGATAGACACTGATGAAGATGCTGGTGATATGGAATCTAGCGTACTGGAGTACAAATACCCATGAAATATGAGTTACTATTAACGTAGAAAATTGTCATCATTTTTCATTGTCTATTGAACATTCGATTCGAAATGATCAATATTTGAAAAAATAGGTAATGTGTGAATAAATATGTATTGATCAATATTATCCTGAGAATGATTCAGTCAGTCAGATTCTAGAGTTTTCAAAGAAAAACACGCGAGTGAGTCGAAACCTTGGGACATGCGAGCAGACTGCTTACAGAACTCTCCTGATAAAGGTTCGACGATGTATATCCAGCAAACATAAGCAAGCCGAATACAGGCAAGTCTTTTATGCCACACCCTTCAAACAAATGAAATAATATCAGACAAATTCCGCTTAGTTATTTATTTATTGTCGAATCAATCCGCAATGTAAGACGCTTCAATGTAAGACGCTTCAACTAATTCAAATAACTAGATAAAGAAAAATACTATAGTATAACTTTCGCTAGATTTCAGAAACAATATGGCCAAATCTTTTGCATCGGAACTCATTTATCGCATCATTGCGGTTTTCAGGAGTAATTCCTCACGGAGTTGGTCAGTAGCTTGCTTTAAGCTTTCATTAACTTCTACATCGTTGCTTTTCATATTCTGAGCATACTCTTCAATTTCGTCTGTTAAACGACAAGAAGAAATAAATCAATCAACGCGAATAAACCCATTTACGAGTGGTTGGAGCATTGTTCAATACGAGGTAATATATGTAAGTAATATGATATTGGAAATCTGTCTCGTGATGGCAATTAGTATGGAAAATGCACCAATTGCATTTGTAGATATCGGTATGATTTTTTAAATTGTTGCTAAAGGAATAGTTGAAGCGATAAAATTAACGAAACATTGAAAATAAACAAGTGCTAGTTTCTACTACAGGATGTATTAAAGCATTTTCTTCTTGTTTATATCACATTTTACCCAGATTCATTTCAGAGACGGAATTTAATGCAGAAACCAATTTGTTCATGTCGTCATCCGACACTTTGTCTTTGAATTCATCCTTCGCATTCTCCAAAAATTCTTGAAAAGAGTCGCTGTCCTATATACAAATAAATAACAGTTATATGACAAAATGATAAAAATGATAGAACGATAAAAAAAATAATAAAAGATGAACGAGAAAAAAAAAGATAACCTCGCTTTTCAATTTTGGTAGGCCAGTTTCTCCAAAGAATCACGATCCCACCGAAGAAGTCGAAGGCCAACTTTAGCAACGTGGCCAAGTACTTTTCTGAATAAAAGTCATTTTGTTTTATTACCAGATAATATTAGTGCACAATTCATAGACTGACATCAAGGGATTCAATTACTATTAAATTTACCCTGCTGTATGCCATCCTCTACGTTTCTTTCCCCGGCGTCGTCTCCGACCCCAGGAATCACCATGTTGAATTGCTAACAAAGCAACAAGGAGCAATAGAACGAGAAACTTGAAATTCATCTATAAAATTCATAATGTAATATTAAGTTATAGTTTCTAGTTTCTGAATATACTTTATTTTTATAACGTATTCTTCTACGTTCTTCAATTCTTTCTGTAGTGCAAATAAAGTGCGGAGATATCAACTTGAAGGAAAACATTCCACGGTTAAAAATAATAAACACGGCGTCAGTTTTGGTAAAACAAAGAGCAATAAACTTTCATGTATGTAATCAGATAATGTTTCCATTGGTGGGGCAATCTGGGGTTAAACATTTCTCAATGCGCCAAGATCTACGCATCAAGTCGAGCACGGGGAGCTGAAATGCTGAAAAAAAATTGAAAACAAAAAGCCAATTTTCATCATCAAGACGAACCGTTTAACAAATGATACACAAATAAATACTCAGATTCACCCCTTACCTTTAACGTCTTCTGAGTGTAGATACGACTCAATGTGATTCTCAACAAATTCTTCGCGTTTATATACGTTTTCCTAATGGGCGTTTCCCCCAACAGCTTGACAACTGCAACACGATTTTGAATAGTTTTATAATGAAAAAAATTTTTAGGCATCTATAAACAGCAAATTATTCATTCCCCGTCGACATATGCTTTACAGTTTAAGAAATATTTTCTAATATAAATATATGAAACCATATGCTTGTTAACTTAAAAATAACTTTAGTGGCGAATTTTATGAAAATCCCATAATTGAAAGTCGAATGCACAACAATATTGGGCTTGTAGGCTAACATACGTTTTAAATGTAGTTCGTTTACTATTTTAATCAGCTTCTCGTCTGGATAAAAACTGTTGTGAATCACATTCGTAACGTTGTTGTTTTGTCCTTCAGTTTCGATTCTAAAAAGCTTGATATCGTGACATTGGAAGACTCAAAAATGAGAGTTTACTGAAGACAGAACGTGACAAATGTATTTTGTTTCAAGTTGTGAAATATATGATTGAATTAACATGAATGTAGATAATTTTTTGCATCGTTCCATTTGTTTTGGCAGTGATTAGAAGTTTCTACAATTCAAAGATATTAGATGGCAGTAAGCCAGTAACAATTAGTTTAATTAGATAGCCAACCGCTTTCATTACATTTCCTAGCACTAGTGCAAAGTAATGGTGTCCCTACGTAATGAAGAAAAGCCTAAATAACTAGGATTTGACCAAATACCTAACTTGTGCTTCAATCGACTGCACGTGTAGAATTATTAATATATACCAACTTTTAATATTGATGATGGCTAGACATGATGATATTTCACTCGTTCCTAGCTGGAATATCCATATGATATATCTGAAATAACATGATGAAAGCATAAATATTTTGTGAAAAATAAAAACCTGCTAGCATGAAGTTATGACTGACTAATCAATCGGCTTTATCAAGAATGAACTAAGATAAAAAATAAAAAAAAACATCCGCTAGAATATTCATAAGACGCAAAGAAATGCGCAAAGCTTTAAGAGAATTTCGTCAACTTGTTGGCCTGACAAATTGTGGGTCATTACAAAATAATGCTTATATAGTGGAATGCTTATTCAAAAAATTTTTATTTAGAAAATTCGGAGCTTTAGCGGAAAAATAAATAACACCAAATTGCTGTGACAGGGACCAGAAATCCATACGTTTTTACTTCTTTTGTATCTTTCACAATGTACGTCTATATTATACGTTGAATATGGCTTGATTTAGGGGATCTTTTGAAATTATGGTTCAAATATTTCTACCACATTTCTGTTTTGCTGGAGATAAGCTTTCGACGATAAAATATAGAATGAAAATAAAGCACGAATAACTCCGCTAAAACATATAAAAAAATTTTCTGACCAGCGAGAAGTAAAATATATAGTGTAGACACAGCTTTAAAGACCGAAATTGGCGTTGAAAACAAGGTGGATAGTAAATTTATATATCAGGGCAATAATTTGAGCACAGGTGTCATCTTTAGCACATAGTATCACAAACACAAAATGTGGCTTGTGGTTTCATTGACTATTTACAACTCTTGCCGTTATTTTTCCACGTGTATGCCGAGAGACTTATTACTTGCAATTCTACATCTTAGGTTTCTACATGCCTGTCTGAGAAATAATGTCTCTAACGTTCTATACGGAAGTCGTGATATCAACGCTTATTCAAGGCATTGTCGCTAATAACTTATTTAAAATATCAATGGACTATGAAGCTTCTCAATTTTTATATCACGCTTTGTTAGAAATAAAGTAAAACTAATTTATCTTTTTGGCGAGAAGAGCATTGCTGCCAGATGGTGCTGCATGTAATAGGTAATTTCATGTTTTGGTGCGTGTGCTGTTTTAGATAGACACTGATGAAGATGCTGGTGATATGGAATCTTAGCGGTATACCCATGTAATATCAGTTACTATTAACGTAGAAAATTGTCATCATTTTTCATTGTCTATTGAACATTGGTTCGAAATGATCAATATTTAAAAAAATAGGTAATGTGTGAATAAATATGTATTAATCAATATTATCCATGAGAATGATTCAGTCAGTCTAATTCTAGAGTTTTCAAAGCAAAACACGCGAGTGAGTCAGAACCTTGGGACATGCGAACAGACTGCTTACAGAACTCTCCTGATAAAGGTTCGACGATGTATATCCAGCAAACATAAGCAAGCCGAATGCAGGCAAGTCTTTTATGCCACACCCTTCAAATGAAATAATATCAGACAAATTCCGCTTAGTTATTTATTTATTATCGAAATCAATCCGCAATGTAAGACGCTTCAACTAATTCAAATAACTAGATAAAGAAAAATACTATAGTATAACTTTCGCTAGATTTCAGAAACAATATGGCCAAATTTTTTGCATCGGAACTCATTTATCGCATCATTGCGGTTTTCAGGAGTAATTCCTCACGGAGTTGGTCAGTAGCTTGCTTTAAGCTTTCATTAACTTCTACATCGTTGCTTTTCATATTATGAGCATACTCTTCAATTTCGTCTGTTAAACGACAAGAAGAAATAAATCAATCAACGCGAATAAACCCATTTACGAGGGGTTGGAGCATTGTTCAATACGAGGTAATATATGTAAGTAATATGATATTGGAAATCTGTCTCGTGATGGCAATTAGTTTGGAAAATGCACCAATTGTATCGATATCGATGAAAAATTTTTAATTCGTGTTATAAGAATAGTGAAATCGATAAGAATAGCGAAACATTGAAAATAAACAAGTGCTGGTTTCAACTACAGGATGTATCAGAGGATCATTTTTCTGTTGTTAATAAAACATTTTACCCAGATTCATTCCAGAGACTGCATTTAATGTAGAAACCAACTTGTTCATGTCACCATCAGACAATTCGTCTTTGAATTCATGCTTCGCATTCTCCAAGAGTTCTTGAAACGAGTCGCTGTCCTATATACAGATAAATAACAATATTACGACGAAATGATAAGATGATGAAGGAAATAATAAAAAATAAATGAGTGTAAAAAAGATAACCTCGCTTTTTAGGTAGGCCAGTTTCTCCAAAGAATCACGATCCCATGGAAGAAATTTGAGACCGACTTTAGCAATGCCGCCAACTACTTTTCTAAATAAGAATCATTTTGTTGTTTCAATATAAGCTAATATTTCACCATCATTCAGAGATAATTATCTTGTTAATTCTAAAGCAGTGATACTAATATGGGTACGCTCTATCTTTCCAGTTTAACCAACGGAATTCTGGTCTTCTATTTCCTTTCGAAAGAATGCTATTGGGTTAGTAAACAGCAGATTTCTGGGACAGACATATATGACAATATTGGGCTTGTAGGCTAACATACGTTTTAAATGTAGTTCGTTTACTATTTTAATCAGCTTCTCGTCTGGATAAAAACTGTTGTGAATCACATTCGTAACGTTGTTGTTTTGTCCTTCAGTTTCGATTCTAAAAAGCTTGATATCGTGACATTGGAAGACTCAAAAATGAGAGTTTACTGAAGACAGAACGTGACAAATGTATTTTGTTTCAAGTTGTGAAATATATGATTGAATTAACATGAATGTAGATAATTTTTTGCATCGTTCCATTTGTTTTGGCAGTGATTAGAAGTTTCTACAATTCAAAGATATTAGATGGCAGTAAGCCAGTAACAATTAGTTTAATTAGATAGCCAACCGCTTTCATTACATTTCCTAGCACTAGTGCAAAGTAATGGTGTCCCTACGTAATGAAGAAAAGCCTAAATAACTAGGATTTGACCAAATACCTAACTTGTGCTTCAATCGACTGCACGTGTAGAATTATTAATACCAACTTTTAATATTGATGATGGCTAGACATGATGATATTTCACTCGTTCCTAGCTGGAATATCCATATGATATATCTGAAATAACATGATGAAAGCATAAATATTTTGTGAAAAATAAAAACCTGCTAGCATGAAGTTATGACTGACTAATCAATCGGCTTTATCAAGAATGAACTAAGATAAAAAAAAAAAAAACATCCGCTAGAATATTCATAAGACGCAAAGAAATGCGCAAAGCTTTAAGAGAATTTCGTCAACTTGTTGGCCTGACAAATTGTGGGTCATTACAAAATAATGCTTATTTAGTGGAATGCTTATTCAAAAAATTTTTATTTAGAAAATTCGGAGCTTTAGCGGAAAAATAAATAACACCAAATTGCTGTGACAGGGACCAGAAATCCATACGTTTTTACTTCTTTTGTATCTTTCACAATGTACGTCTATATTATACGTTGAATATGGCTTGATTTAGGGGATCATTTGAAATTATGGTTCAAATATTTCTACCACATTTCTGTTTTGCTGGAGATAAGCTTTCGACGATAAAATATAGAATGAAAATAAAGCACGAATAACCCCGCTAAAACATATAAAAAAATTTTCTGACCAGCGAGAAGTAAAATATATAGTGTAGACACAGCTTTAAAGACCGAAATTGGCGTTGAAAACAAGGTGGATAGTAAATTTATATATCAGGGCAATAATTTGAGCACAGGTGTCATCTTTAGCACATAGTATCACAAACACAAAATGTGGCTTGTGGTTTCATTGACTATTTACAACTCTTGCCGTTATTTTTCCACGTGTATGCCGAGAGACTTATTACTTACAATTCTACATCTTAGGTTTCTACATGCCTGTCTGAGAAATAATGTCTCTAATGTTCTATACGGAAGTCGTGATATCAACGCTTATTCAAGGCATTGTCGATAATAACTTATTTAAAATATCAATGGACTATGAAGCTTCTCAATTTTTATATCACGCTTCGTTAGAAATAAAGTAAAACTAATTTATCTTTTTGGCGAGAAGAGCATTGCTGCCAGATGGTGCTGCATGTAATAGGTAATTTCATGTTTTGGGTGCGTGTGCTGTTTTAGATAGACACTGATGAAGATGCTGGTGATATGGAATCTAGCGTATACCCATGTAATATCAGTTACTATTAACGTAGAAAATTGTCATCATTTTTCATTGTCTATTGAACATTGGTTCGAAATGATCAATATTTAAAAAAATAGGTAATGTGTGAATAAATATGTATTGATCAATATTATCCATGAGAATGATTCAGTCAGTCTAATTCTAGAGTTTTCAAAGCAAAACACGCGAGTGAGTCAGAACCTTGGGACATGCGAACAGACTGCTTACAGAACTTTCCTGATAAAGGTTCGACGATGTATATCCAGCAAACATAAGCAAGCCGAATGCAGGCAAGTCTTTTATGCCACACCCTTCAAATGAAATAATATCAGACAAATTCCGCTTAGTTATTTATTTATTATCGAAATCAATCCGCAATGTAAGACGCTTCAACTAATTCAAATAACTAGATAAAGAAAAATACTATAGTATAACTTTCGCTAGATTTCAGAAACAATATGGCCAAATTTTTTGCATCGGAACTCATTTATCGCATCATTGCGGTTTTCAGGAGTAATTCCTCACGGAGTTGGTCAGTAGCTTGCTTTAAGCTTTCATTAACTTCTACATCGTTGCTTTTCATATTATGAGCATACTCTTCAATTTCGTCTGTTAAACGACAAGAAGAAATAAATCAATCAACGCGAATAAACCCATTTACGAGTGGTTGGAGCATTGTTTAATACGAGGTAATATATGTAAGTAATATGATATTGGAAATCTGTCTCGTGATGGCAATTAGTTTGGAAAATGCACCAATTGTATCGATATCGATGAAAAATTTTTAATTCGTGTTATAAGAATAGTGAAATCGATAAGAATAGCGAAACATTGAAAATAAACAAGTGCTGGTTTCAACTACAGGATGTATCAGAGGATCATTTTTCTGTTGTTAATAAAACATTTTACCCAGATTCATTCCAGAGACTGCATTTAATGTAGAAACCAACTTGTTCATGTCACCATCAGACAATTCGTCTTTGAATTCATGCTTCGCATTCTCCAAGAGTTCTTGAAACGAGTCGCTGTCCTATATACAGATAAATAACAATATTACGACGAAATGATAAGATGATAAAGGAAATAATAAAAAATAAATGAGTGTAAAAAAGATAACCTCGCTTTTTAGGTAGGCCAGTTTCTCCAAAGAATCACGATCCCATGGAAGAAATTTGAGACCGACTTTAGCAATGCCGCCAACTACTTTTCTAAATAAGAATCATTTTGTTGTTTCAATATAAGCTAATATTTCACCATCATTCAGAGATAATTATCTTGTTAATTCTAAAGCAGTGATACTAATATGGGTACGCTCTATCTTTCCAGTTTAACCAACGGAATTCTGGTCTTCTATTTCCTTTCGAAAGAATGCTATTGGGTTAGTAAACAGCAGATTTCTGGGACAGACATATATGGCCTATGCTGTCAAGAAATAAATATGCTAAAACTTGTTCTTGTAAATAATCATAATTATTTAGTCTGATTGGAAATGTTGCAAATGTGTTGAGAAAAACTTTTTTCGAAAACCTATGATCAAAAATATAACAAATAGGTGTAAACTAATGATGTGATCGAATTTAACTAGTGCACACTTTAATAAATTGTCAATATTTTCCTCTAAAACCAACTCTTCTTTGAAAAAAAATCCCCCTTCTACAAAATGTCACCACTTTTTTTTCTAACGTGCGAGAGACCTCACTGCGATTTCTTTTGAAAGAGTATCTACGTCGCTTCATACAAAATGTTTCTCAAGACACGAGCACGTTTGTCTCAACCCGTTGCGTTGAAACGAGAGATGTGAAAAAAAAATTTGAAAAAAGTTCTGTATTTCAAATCGGAGTGATAAATACAAGCCAGATGGACTCGACATCTAATATCCCAAAAATGGAGAAAATCGTCATCTTTCAAACGAGATAAGAGTGGCATTCTGGAGCGAAACGCAACGCAAAATATTCAAGATACAAAGAGCGCATGTTTTCGCTAACAGTTTCGAGCGAACGCAATCCTTGTTTGTTTATTATTGTGCGGGTAATGATTACTACCTTGTTTACGCGCCGAGAACGATTGCTCGCTCGCTCAAATTACTTTCTTTCAAGTAATAACATATTCCTCTGTATATTTCTTTGTTTTCAAATACTTACAGATATAAAACTCGCAGAATTGAAAATATGCGAAAAAAAAGTGACGCGCAACGGGGTGGTATTGGACGCGCAACGGGGGGGGGGGGGGGGGGGGGTCACAAACACTCGGACAAGCATATATCAAGCTTGAAAACGACGCAAAAATGTTTTATTGCTTTTGTTTTGAGTTACGTCCTCAATAAGACGTATACATAAAGAATGTTAACTCCTACTGACCAATCAAATTAGAGCCATATTTATACTACAAATAAGTGTCATCCCGGCATTTTAATTGGAAATATTGTTATATACATTGCATCAGTGGTTCCCAACCACCGTGCCACACTGGTGTGCCGCGAAGAGATTTCATTTTTGATCTCCGATCTCTTGAATTCCGCGAGAATTACCCCACGGCTCTTCCTAACAAACAGAAACGACATATTTGAGGAGTCGAATTTGGGTATTTTTCAATTCTTAGTTTAGCATAAAGAGCGCCAACACCGTTTCGTAAAATTAAAAATGTCAAACAAGGTAACAAATTACTGTGCAAAGACTGTACTGCGTACTGTGTTACGTTTTTCAAATAGTTTTTGCGTTCTAAAAAGTCGAATAGGCGTTTCGACATACCATTACCATCGATATATGCTCGGGCATTTCATTTCTCTCGCAAGTGCTGACTATAATTTGAATTGATTGAATTGACTTGAATGATTTTGTCAATGGGAGAAATATATCAGATTGCAACAAAAAGAATTGTGCAAAGATTGTGCAAAAGTAAGAATACCTAATAATATTAAGGGCGTAACGTGGAGCGGGGTAGGGCCAGCAAAATCGAAGCGCGTGATTGACGGTGCGTTTGAAGACCACGTATTACCCGCGAGGCCGCTTATCTTATACAATAATGTGAGGTGCTCCGAAGGCGCTCTCGTGTACATTATTGTAAGAAAATAGTTATAGTATCGGAAACTATTAACCATTCGCGCTCGACTATCGTATTTTTCAGTAATGTTTATTTTGTAAAGCGGAAACAAGATGTGTTTAAATAAAGACGAAATTATTGAAGTCCCCTCGCCTGCGTTAAAAGTGTGTTTCTCTCAGAGAGTTAGAAGTATGTCTCTCTATACCTGTTACTAAATACAGGGTATGTTGTACTCACATGAATAAAATACCCTTTGTCTGATCTTCTTTGTTTATTATTATTTTATAGCAAACTGGCTTTATGAGTAGAAATGTTCATGTTTTGAGATAGGAGTGCCGCGATTATTTAAAGTGCTCAATAGCGTGCCGCGATATAAAAAAGGTTGAGAACCACTGCATTATATAAACATTGGATTCAATTGTTATGATATTTACCCTGCTGTATGCCATCCTCTACGTTTCTTTCCCCGGCGTCGTCTCCGACCCCAGGAATCACCGTGTTGAATTGCTAACAAAGCAACAAGGAGCAATAGAACGAGAAACTTGAAATTCATCTATAAAATTTATAATATAATTATACGTTATAGTTTCTAGTTTCTGAATATACTTTATTTCTATAACGTATTCTTCTACGTTCTTCAATTCTTTCTGTAGTGCAAATATAGTGCGGGGGTATCAACTTGAAGGAAAACATTCCAGTGTTAAAAGTAATAAACACGGCGTCAGTTTTGGTAAAACGAGCAACAAACTTTCATGTATGTAATCAGACAATGTTTTCATTGGTGGGGCAATCTGGGGTTGAACATTTCTCAATGCGTCGCGATCTGCGCATCAAATTGAACGCGGGGAGCATAAGTGCTGAAAAAAATTGAAAACCAAAAGCCAATTTTCCTTATCAAGACAAATTAATACTTAGATCCACTCCTTACCTTTAACGTCTTCTGAGTGTAGATACGACTCAATGTGATTGTCCGCAAATTCTTCGCGTTTATCTACGTTTTCCTAATGGGCGTTTTCCCCAACAGCACGCTTGACTACTGCAACACGATTTTGAATAGTTTCATAACAAAAATAAATTCTGGGCATCTAAAAACAGCAAATTATTCATTCCACGTCGACATATGCTTTGCAGTTTAAGACAACTTTGCTAATTAAAATATATACAACCATATGATTGTGAACTCATTCCACGTCGACATAATATGCTTTACAGTTTAAGAAAACCTTGCTAATTAAAATATATACAACCATATGATTGTGAACTCATTCCACGTCGACATAATATGCTTTACAGTTTAAGAAAACCTTGCTAATTAAAATATATACAACCATATGCTTGTGAACTCAAAAATACGTTTAGTGGCGAATTTTATGGAAATTCTCATAATTGAAAGTCGAATGCACAACAATATTGGGCTTGTGGGCTAACGTGCGTTTTGAGTGGAGTTCACTCAGCTTCTCGTCTGGATAATAAACTATTGCGAATTACATTCGTAATGTTGTTGTTTTGTCTTTCAGTTTCGATTTCCAAAAGCTTGATATCGTGACATTGGAATATGCAACAGTATGTGTAATTTTACATCGCACAAGCGGTGAAATTACTCAACGATGATGTAAAAATTCGTTCAACCGCCAAACGGCTTCGTTTACTATTTTAATCAGCTTCTCGCATGGATGGAGATGTGTTGTGAATCACATTCGTAATGTTGTTGTTTTGTCTTTCAGTTTCGATTTCAAAAAGCTTGATATCGTGACATTGGAAGACTCAAAAATGAGAGTTTACCGAGGACAGAGCGTGACAAATGTATTTGGTTTTAAGTTGTGAAATACATAATAGATTTAACATAAAGGTAGATAAAGTTTCACACCGTTGCTTTTGTTCTACAATTTGAATATCGTAAATGGCAGTAACAATTCGTTCAATTAGTTAGCCAACCGCTGCCATTACATTTCCTAGCATTAGTGCAAAGTAATGGTGTCCCTACGTAATGAAGAAAAGCCTAAATAACTAGGATTTGACCAAATACCTAACTTGTGCTTCAATCGACTGCACGTGTAGAATTATTAATACCAACTTTTAATATTGATGATGGCTAGACATGATGATTTTCACTCGTTCCTAGCTGGAATATCCATATGATATATCTGAAATAACATGATAAAAGCATAAATATTTTGTAAAAAATAAAAACCTGCTAACATGAAGTTATGACTGACTAATCAATCGGCTTTATCAATAATGAACTGGGATTCAAAAAAAAAAAACTTCTGCTGGAATATTCATAAGACGCAAAGAAATGCGCAAAGCTTTAGGAGAATTTCGTCAACTTGTTGGCCTGACAAATTGTGGGTCATTACAAAATAATGCTTATTCAGTGGAATGCTTATTCAAAATTTTTTTATTTAGAAAATTCGGAGCTTTATCAGAAAAATAAGTAACACCAAATTGCTGTGACAAGGACCAGAAATTCTTACGTTTTTACTTCTTTTTTATCTTTCACAATGTACGTCTATATTATACGTTGAATATGGCTTGATTTAGGGGATCATTTGAAATTATGGTTCAAATATTTCTACCACATTTCTGTTTTGCTGGAGATAAGTTTTCGACGATAAAATATAGAATGAAAATAAAGCACGAATAACTCCGCTAAAACATATAAAACTTTTTTCTAACCAGCGAGAGGTAAAATATATAGTGTAGACACAGCTTTAAAGACCGAAATTGGCGTTGAAAATAGGGTGGATAGTAAATTTATATATCAGGGCAATAATTTGAGCACAGGTGTCATCTTTAGCACATAGTATCACAAACACAAAATGTGGTTTCATTGACTATTTACAACCCTTGCCGTTATTTTTCCACGTGTATGCCGAGAGACTTCTTACTTGCAATTCTACATCTTAGGTTTCTACATGCCTGTCTGAGAAATAATGTCTCTAACGTTCTATACGGAAGTCGTGGTATCAACGCTTATTCAAGGCATTGTCGCTAATAACTTATTTAAAATATCAATGGACTATGAAGCTTCTCAATTTTTATATCACGCTTTGTTAGAAATAAAGTAAAACTAATTTATCTTTTTGGCGAGAAGAGCATTGCTGCCAGATGGCGCTGCATGTAATAGGTAATTTCATGTTTTAGGTGCGTGTGCTGTTTTAGATAGACACTGATGAAGATGCTGGTGATATGGAATCTAGCGTACTGCAGGAGTACAAATACCCATGGAATATGAGTTACTATTAACGTATAAAATTGTCATCATTTTTCATTGTCTATTGAACATTCGATTGAAATGATCAATATTTGAAAAATAGGTAATGTGTGAATAAATATGTATTGATCAATATTATCCATGAGAATGATTCAGTCAGTCAGATTCTAGAGTTTTCAAAGAAAAACACGAGAGTGAGTCAAAACCTTGGGACATGCGAGCAGACTGCTTACAGAACTCTCCTGATAAAGGTTCGACGATGTATATCCAGCAAACATAAGCAAGCCGAATGCAGGCAAGTCTTTTATGCCACACCCTTCAAATAAATGAAATAATATCAGACAAATTCTGCTTAGCTATTTATTTATTGTCGGAATCAATCCGCAATGTAAGACGCTTCAACTAATTCAAATAACTAGATAAAGAAAAATACTATAGTATAACTTTCGCTAGATTTCAGAAACAATATGGCCAAATTTTTTGCATCGGAACTCATTTATCGCATCATTGCGGTTTTCAGGAGTAATTCCTCACGGAGTTGGTCAGTAGCTTGCTTCAAGCTTTCTTTAACTTCTACATCGTTGCTTTTGATATTCTGAGCATACTCTTCGATTTCGTCTGTTCAACGACAAGAAGAAATAAATCAATCAACGCGAATAAACCCATTTACGAGTGGTTGGAGCATTGTTTAATACGAGGTAATATATGTAAGTAATATGATATTGGAAATCTGTCTCGTGATGGCAATTAGTATGTAAAATGCACCAATTGCATCGATATCGATATAATTTTTTTAATTCGTGTTATAAGTATAGTAAAATCGATAAGAATAGCGAAACATTGAAAATAAACAAGTGCTGGTTTCAACTACAGGATGTATCAGAGCATCATTTTCCTGTTGTTAATAAAACATTTTACCCAGATTCATTCCAGAGACTGCATTTAATGTAGAAACCAACTTGTTCATGTCACCATCAGACAATTCGTCTTTGAATTCATGCTTCGCATTCTCCAAAAATTCTTGAAACGAGTCGCTGTCCTATATACAGATAAATAACAATATTACGACGAAATGATAGGATGATAAAGGAAATAATAAAAAATAAATGAGTGTAAAAAAGATAACCTCGCTTTTTAGGTAGGCCAGTTTCTCCAAAGAATCACGATCCCATGGAAGAAATTTGAGACCGACTTTAGCAATGCCGCCAACTACTTTTCTAAATAAGAATCATTTTGTTGTTTCAATATAAGCTAATATTTCACCATCATTCAGAGATAATTATCTTGTTAATTCTAAAGCAGTGATACTAATATGGGTACGCTCTATCTTTCCAGTTTAACCAACGGAATTCTGGTCTTCTATTTCCTTTCGAAATAATGCTATTGGGTTATTAAACAGCAGATTTTTGGGACAGACATATATGGCGTATGCTGTCAAGAAATAAATATGCTAAAACTTGTTCTTGTAAATAATAATAATTATTCAGTCTGATTGGAAATGGTGCAAATGTGTTGAGAAAAACTTTTTTCGAAAACCTATGATCAAAAATATAACAAATAGGTGTAAACTAATGATGTGATCGAATTTAACTATTGCACATTTTAACAAATTGTCAATATTTTCCTCTAAAACCAAGTCTTCTTTGAAAAAAAAATCCCCCTTCTACAAAATGTCACTACTTTTTTTTCTAGCGTGCGAGAGACTTCACTGCTATTTCTTTTGAAAGAGCATCTACGTCGCTTCATACAAACCGTATCTCGAGACACGAGCACGTTTGTCTCAACCCCGTTGCGTTGAAACGAAAGATGTGAAAAAATTTTGAAAAAAGTTCTGTATTTCAAATCGGAGTGATAAATACAAGCCGGATGGACTCGACATCTAATATCCCAGAAATGGAGAAGATCGTCATCTTTCAAACGAGATAAAAGTGGCATTCTGGAGCGAAACGCAACGCAAAATATTCAAGATACAAAGAGCGCATGTTTTCGCTAACAGTTTCGAGCGAATGCAATCCTTGTTTGTTTATTATTGTGCGGGTAATGATTACTACCTTGTTTACGCGCCGAGAACGATTGCTCGCTCGCTCAAACTACTTTCTTTCAAGTAATAACATATTCCTCTGTATATTTCTTTGTTTTCAAATACTTACAGATATAAAACTCGCAGAATTGAAAATATGCGAAAAAAAGTGACGCGCAACGGGGGGTCACAAACACTCGGACAAGCATATATCAAGCTTGAAAACGACGCAAAAATGTCTTATTGCTTTTGTTTTGAGTTACGTCCTCAATAAGACGTGTACATAAAGAATGTTAACTTCTACTGACCAATCATATTAGAGCCATATTTATACTACAAATAAGTGTCATCCAGGCATTTTAATCGGCAATATTGTTATATACATTGCATCAGTGGTTCCCAACCACCGTGCCACATTGGTGTGCCGCGAACAGATTTCATTTTTGATCTCCAATCTCTTGAATTCCGCGAGAATTACCCCACGGCTCTTCCTAACAAACAGAAACGACATATTTGAGGAGTCGAATTTGGGTATTTTTCAATTCTTAGTTTAGCATAAAGAGCGCCAACACCGTTTCGTAAAATTAAAAATGTCAAACAAGGTAACAAATTACTGTGCAAAATTTTTCCCAAATTTTACTAAAGAATTATTATTTGACCAGTAGAATTGCCATTATTGAATCATTATTCAAACTCAAAATACCATTCAGGATTCACGCAATGACTTTGTCTGTTTTTTTATTCGCTATTTAAGGTTTTACTTATTTATTGCGTCTGTTTTTTTTTTATTTTCGTATTCAGGAGGTCAACTATCGTCTTCATAGATATCTGCATTCCGACGTCAGAAATATTAATATTGTTAGCTTAAAATTGGGACAGGTAATTTACAAACGGTGGGGAGAAAGGTCAAAGCCGGCGCAAAGTATAAAAATAGGAATAAAATCCTGAATTCACTCCTTATTAGCTGTCATTAACATTTGTCGCCGATATGAACGAATGGTCCTCCCAGAAATATGAAGCCAAACTTCGTCGTTGTGTAATATTTAGTCATTTTAACAAAAGAGGACGGGCGGTAATAGCTCACCAACATTAGAACATCTAGCATTCCATTTTGCCGACCCTTGCGATCTGTAATCACGCCAGTAATCTGGCAAAACGCGTAGTAGTCCAAACATTGATGCAATGGAACTTAATAAAACCTTCATAAATTTGGTAAATTGCACTACTTCACAAAAGCCTGGTAGAAATAACGATAATTTCATATCTCGAACACAAAAACTGTTACGTTTTTCGAATAGTTTTTGCGTTCTGAAAAGTCGAATAGGCGTTTCGACATATCATTGCCATCGATATATGCTCGGGAATTTCATTTCTCTCGCAAGTGCTGACTATAATTTGAATTGATTGAATTGACTTGAATGATTTTGTCAATGGGAGAAATATATCAGATTGCAACAAAAAGAATTACCTGATAGAATACCTGATAATATTAAGGGCGTAACGTGGAGCGGGGTAGGGCCAGCAAAACCGAAGCGCGTGATCGACGGTGCGTTTGAAGACCACGTATTACCCGCGAGGCCGCTTATCTTATACAACAATCTGAGGTGCTCCGAAGGCGCTCTCGTGTACATTATTGTAAGAAAATAGTTATAGTATCGGAAACTATTAACCATTTGTTCGCGCTCGACTATCGTATTTTTCAGAAATGTTAATTTTGTAAAGCGGAAACAAGATGTGTTTAAATATAGACGAAATTATTGGAGTCCCCTCGCCTGCGGTAAAAGTGTGTTTCTCTCAGAGAGTTAGAAGTATGTCTCTCTATACCTGTTACTAAATACAGGGTATGTTGTACTCACATGAATAAAATACCCTTTGTCTGATCTTCTTTGTTTATTTTTATTTTATAGCAAACTGGCTTTAGGAGTAGAAATGTTCATGTTTTGAGATAGGAGTGCCGCGATTATTTAAAGTGCTCAATAGCGTGCCGCGATATAATAAAAGGTTGGAACCACTGTATTATATAAACATTGGATTCAATTGTTATGATATTTATCCTGCTGTATGCCATCCTCTACGTTTCTTTCCCCGGCGTCGTCTCCGACCCCAGGAATCACCGTGTTGAATTGCTAACAATGCAACAAGGAGCAATAGAACGAGAAACTTGAAATTCATCTATGAAATATATAATGTAATATCAAGTTATAGTTTCTAGTTTCTGAATATACCTTATTTTTCGATCGTATTCTTCTACGTTTTTCAATTCTTTCTGTAGTGTAAATATAGTGCGCAGGTATCAACTTGAAGGACAACATTCCACCGCTACAAAATCAAACACACGGCGTCCGTTTTTAGTAAAACAAAGAGTATCAAACTTTCATGTATGTAATCAGACAAGTGGTTGAACAATCGTGGGTGAGACATTTCTCAATGTGTCGCGATCTGCGCATCAAATCGAACACGGGGAGCATAAAAGCTGAAAAAAATTGAAAACCAAAAGCCAAATTTTTATTATCTACTAGACGAATCGTTTAAATGATAGACAAATAAATACTCATTCCCCCCATTACCCTGAACGTCTTCTGAGTGTAGATTCGCTTCAATATGATTCTCAACAAATTCTTCGAGTTTATATACTTTTTTCTAACAGGCGTTTCCTCAGCAGCACGCTTCTACTGCAACACGATTTTCTAGGCATCTATAAACAGCAAATTATTTATTCCCCGTCGACATATGCTTTACAGTTTAAAAAATATTTGCTAATTTAAATATATAAAACCATATGCTCGTGAACTCAAAACAACTTCAGTAGCGAATTTCATGGAAATTCCATTGATTGGAAGTTGAATGCACAACAATATTGGGCTTGTAGGCTAACATACGGTTTGAATGTAATTCGTTTACTATTTTCAGCAGCTTCTCGCCTGGATGGAAATGTGTCGTGAATCCCATTCGTAATGCTGTTGTTTGTCCTTTTTTTAAAGCGCATTTAAATGCGCTCGATTCAGTTTTCAAAAAATCTACCAAACTATCGAATCCTGATTAATGCTGAATTATATTTTTTTGGCTGTCATCAGGAAAATATTTTTATTAGCAACACAGAAGCCAACTGCATCTCGTGATTGACGTGATTTTGATCAAAACTGACCGCGAGTCCGCATCTATATAAGAGGGCACGTATATTCTATAAGGAGCCAATTCAAGTGTAACCTTGAACTTGCTAAAATTCGACGAACGTCTGATTTAAAACGTACAAACAAACATTTCTCTCTTTATATATATCTACATATATAAACAATTACAGAAATTGTATTGCAGGAATTTTCGTCTACTTGTTAAAAATGCTCAAGAACAAAGTTCCGCTGATGTACCTCAAAACTTAAATTTACTCTGGAAACTATTCAAAGCATGTTCGATTTATTTTCGTTCAACAAAAATATTTCGTAATATTTTGCCTCATATTTTTGCTAAATACCATGTATATTACCACGTTTTTTTCAGTATAATGGAAATGTGCACTTTTATAAGCATCGTCGCTATCTTTATAGGATGTATGACATGATGTTTGGTCATGAATGGAAGGAAAAGGACCAGCTTGAAATTCAAGAAACCAGGAAATTTCTAACCTGCTTTAACCTCTAATGCTACAATGTGGAGACGTTAATGGTTGATTACATCGCAACCAATGTCATGTGTTAGCTTAAAGTTTAGCACAGTGCGTAACCTTGAATAAACGCAAGACAACTTTTCAATAGCACTTGTTCCTTGTAAAACTCAAAAAACAGATCTAGTTGATGACGCAAATGAAAAAAAATATCAGACATTTATTTCTGATATGAGGTATAACTATTTCATTTATACATATGATAAAATGCTTCTATTTCCATGTTGTTAAACAAGAGAGCATTGTTTAAATATATGGGCATGAAAGCCAAAACGAGGTAGTACGGGTATGCAATTTGTCACAGTAGACCAGCAGTACCCCAGTTATTTGGATTTCGTCGGCCCATCACAAGATGGCAACCAACATGAACGCTATTTCTTTCATCAGCCTATCATTTTTCATTATTTTGTCTTCTTACTGTTATTATTTCGTATATAGGACATCGATTCGTTTCAAGCATTTTTGGAGAATGCGAAGGATGAATTCAATGACGAATTGTCGGATGACGATATGAACAAACTGGTTGCTGCATTGAATATTTTGCAATTTGCAACTATTATGATTCTCATATACCTTTACGCTTCAAGACTTCTTGTTTAATCCATTTTATAGCACTGATAGCAGCAGGGATTAGAGCCTGCGTTAGGTCGGATTGGTGAACATTGCCGTTTTCTTTTGTAGTGCAGTATCTAAAATGAGGAAGAAAATCATATTTGGAACAGTACGAGTGTAAAAATACCACTAAATACTAACTAATACCTTGAATACATAATGTATTTTATCTGATGTACTCAATGAGCGTATATATGCTCATTGCATGTACTACAGTCCAGCAGTGTTTGCATACCATTACTAGACTATATCTACACTAAATTTTGACATATCACAGTCTGAAATGCCCTATGACAGTATGAGTATGGACTATAGGCCTAGACTATATTTTAAAACATCAACTGTCTGTCTACAACTTGATTTCTCACCTCTCAATCGTTTCCAATGCTACTTTCTTTGCACTCCGGCATAACTTATCATTGTTCCCAGGTTCTTGTCGACTCTATGAATTTAGATTTAGACCAACCGACATTAGTAAAAATTGATTATTTTCTTCTCTTTCACACAACCGTGCATACAGAAACAGCCATTAATTTCTATTTCCAAATATGCTGTGGCCTATATAGTAGTATAAGTCTGCTGAATAGTCAAGAAGAGTCATTAAATTAATCATAAACATTTCATGCAAACCAGAAAATATTGTTGTTTGTGACATATTATTCTAGGTCTAGCCTTCCTTGGAGTTACCCGCACCGTACCTATTTAACAACGTCTTTTGAGCTAGTGCTCAACTAAAATTGCTATTTATGGTAAGGATATACAAGCGTTTAATATCTTCTTATACTTTAGAATAACTGAACTAATAATAACTGAAAAAAACTATGGAAAGGCTACTCAACGCAAAAGCGAGCAGTAGTAGTACATCTGATATTCATCCGACCACTGGGGATCCACCTACAGCTGACTAATTTAATTGTTACGTCATGCAGAAGTCTGCGTTCATTGGCCCATGATACCGGGAAAGCAGAGGAAATAGGACAGATGGTAACACATATTTATTGTAGTAAAAGCGTCTTTTCTGTAAAACGTGCAACTTTTGGAAGTGGGAACAAGGCAATATTTGTTACTAAATTTCTAAGGAACATTTTAAATCGTTTTCAAGGTAGTTACCTTTATGTGGCGCTACAAAACTGAAAGATAAATGGCCTCGGCTCGCGGCCTAAAACTTGCGAAGAAGATATTACGGCATACCTGATCCAGTACACTCCCGGTGCAACATTGGCACTCAACGAAACAAATGCTCAAATTACAGGAAAAGCGAAGTCTGGTAGCAGCCGTCCCGCCCCGATGGTTCGTATTAAATTTAGTAATTGCAGATATTTTCCCCACTTGTATGCCAGAGAGAGACCACATACTTGCAATTCTACATGATAAGTTATCATATGCCATATGAAGAGTTGACTCTAATGTTTCAGGCAGAAGTCATAATACACGCTTATTTAAAACCTTTTCGCCAATGACCTATTGAAAATATCAATTGGCTAATAAGATTCTCAATTTTTATATCACGCTTGTTAGAAATAAAGTGAAACTAAATTATGCTTTTCATCGAGAAGAGCAGTGATGCATGTAATAGGTAATTTCGTGTTTCAGGTATGTGTGCTTTCTGAGATAGACACTGGTGAAGATGTTGGGGATATAGACTATGGAGTCTACTGTGCTACAGGAGTACAAATACCCATAGAATAGGCGTTACTATTACAGTTGAAAATTGTCAATATTTTTCATTGTCTATTGAACATTTGATTAAAATGATCAATATTTAATAAAGAGATAATGTGTGAATAAATATGTATTGACCAATATGATTCATAAGAATGATTCAGTCAGTCAGCTTCTAGAGGTTTCAAATGGAAACACGCGAGTGAGTTAAAACCTTGGGGGCGCAGGCAAGTACGCATACTGCTTGAACCGTAAATATAAACTACCTTGAACCCTCCCGATAAAGGTTCGACTGTGGATCTCCAGCAAAGTGGCAAACGTAAGCAGAGCGCATGCAAGCATGTCTTTTATGCCACGCCCTTTAAATAATAAAATAATAACAAATTCCGCTTAGTTATTTTATTTCTTGTCGGAATCAATCCGCAATGCAGTACGCTCCAACTAATCTGAATAACTCGATAAAAAATCCTATAATCATAACTTTTGCTAGATTTCAGAAACAATATGGCCAAATTATTGATCCAAGTAACATGTCACACACATATGTAGAATTGTCGCCTCGCTGTTTTTTGCGGTTGTAGATATTCATGACGTATTTTGAATGAGAGCTTTTTATCTTGTTATATATATGAATTAGTAGAGCGGCATTCGGAACTTATCGCATCATTGCGGTTCTCAGGAGTAACTTCTCACGGAGTTGATCAGTATCTTCCTTCGGGCTTTTGTCAACTTCTACATCGTTGCTTTTCCTATTCTGAGCATATTCTTCACTTTCGTCTGTTAAAAGACAAGGGGTTCCTCTCAATACGAAATCGTTCTTCATAAAAAGTCAATACGAATAATCCCATATAGGATTGATTGAAACTTTTGTACAGTAGAAAGTAATATTTTAAGAAATTAGTCATATGATATCGAAATTGGTTTGATGATAGCACAAAAAAAGTGTCGATGGCGTTCAAGGATGAGCGTTTTTAAATTTAGCAATAAAAACAGAAATGGGAAATAAAATGATCAATGGAATAATTTAAATTGAAAAAATGCTAGTTTAAACTACGAGATGTTTTAAAGCATCCTTTCCTTGTTAATAAAAGCATTTTACCCAGATTCAATTCCAGAGACTGCATTTAATGCAGAAGCCAATTTGTTCATGTCACCATCAGACAAATCGTCTTTGAATTCATCCAAAAATTCTTGAAACGAGTCGTTGTCCTATAAATGAATAAATAACAGTAGGAAGACAAACAAGATGATAAAAAGAAATAATTAAAGAGAAATAAGTTTGAAAAAAGATAACCTCGCTTTTCAGATAGGCCAGTTTCTTCAAAGAATCACGATCCCATCGAAGTAATCGAAGACCGACTTTTCTGAATAAACCATTTTGTTTTGTTATAAGCCAAAATTATACAATTTTTCAGAGATAATTATTTTGTTTCTTGTTAATTCTGAAGCAGTGATACCAATATGGGTACGCTCTAGCTTTCCAGTTTAACTAACAGAATTCTGGTCTTCTATTGCCAATTAGGCAACTTTCGAAAAAAAAGCTATTCAGCTATTTTACAGCATATTTGTAAGGCAGGAGTACATGGTGCATGTTGCTAAGGAAGTGAAATAATTATAATAAAACTTTTTCCAGAATAATCATAATTTTTTAGTCCGATTAGAAACAGTGTAAATGCGTCGAGAGAAATCAAGCCCATAAAAATAACATTTTAGTGTAAACTAATAATGTCACTGAATTTAACTATTGCACTTTTTTAATAAATTGTCAATATTGTTACATTATATAAATGGATTCAATTAATATAAAATTTACACAGCTTTACGCCATCCTCTTCGTTTCCTTCCTCCACGTTTCTTTCTCCGACCCCAGGAATCACCATGTTGAATTGCTAAACAAAGCAACAAGAAGCAAATAGAACAAAAACTTGAAATTCATCTATGAAAATTGATAATGTAATATTAAGTTATAGTTTCTAGTTTCCTGAATATATTTTATTGTTCAAAAGTACGTTCTCCTAGATTTTTCAATTCTTTCTGTAGTGCAAATATAGTGCGGAGATATAAACTTGAAGGAAAACATTCCACCATTACAAAATTAAAAACACGCCGTCAGTTTCGGTAAAACAATGGGTAAAAAACTTTCATGTATGTAATCATACATTGTTTTCATTGGTGGGGCAATCTGGGGTTGAACATTTCTCAATGCGACGCGATCTGCGCATCAAATCGAGCACGGGGAACATAAAAGGTTGAAAAATTTTGATCACCAAATGCCAAATTTTCATTATCGAGACGAATCGTTTACCAAATGATAGACAAATAAATTCTCAGATCCACTCCTTACCATTAACGTATTCTGAGTGTAGATTCGCGTCAATATGATTTGCAACAAATTTTTCGCGTTTATATACTTTTTCCTAACGGGCGTTTTCCACAACAGCACGCTTGACTACTGCAACACGATTTTGAATATTTTTGTAACAAAAATTTTTTAGACATCTATAAACAGCAAATCATTCATTCCACGTCGACATATGCGTTACAGTTTAAGAAAACTTTGCTAATTTAAATATATAAAACCATATGCTTGTGAACTCAAAAATAACTTTAGTGGCGAATTTTATGGAAACTTCTGTATTTGGAAATTGAATGCACAACAATATTGGGCTTGTAGGCTAACATACGTTTTGAATGTAGTTCGTTTACTATTTTCAGCAACATCTCGCCTGGATGGAGATGTGTCGAGAAACACATTCGTAATGTTGTTGTTTTGTTTTTCAGTTTCGATTTTAAAAAGATTGATATCGTGACATTGAAAAATATAATAACTATACTGTGAATATTGAGGCTAGGCTCAAAAAATGAGAGTTGACCGAAGACAGAACGCAATAATACAAAAATGAAGCAGGTGTGTCATTTGAAATAATAAAATCGGGATGTATTTCGAGAATGAAATGTATATTATGAAATTAAGCGGCAGTCATTTATGCAACTCACGTAATATATACTGTATATTACAAAAATTATGTGATTCTTCACCTAAAAGCTCTTTCACATCTGTAGTGATTCAAGTTTCTTATTTGGTTTGTATAAAAATTAAATTTATGTTCCAATATTATGGTGCCTTTCACAGTTGTACAAGAGTCATTCGTGGTAATTTTTATTCCGATCTTGTATTACATTACAATGAAAAGCGGTTCATTAGAGATTCAATAAATAATATAGTATTCATAGAAAGGGAGGGAAGTAAATAGAAAAATGTTAAAAATCGCAGACTTATAGTCAAATTAAAATGCGTGCTGTCAACAGATAAGGTGTCAAGGTGGTGAGAGTGTTCTGAAGTGGGAGTTCTTAGTTTGGGATTGGTCAACTCAAAGCCTTAAAAATTGGTTTCCATTTTTTCTCGTTAGTAATTTTTCCGCCTATGAACTAATTTATTTTTTCTATCACTGATTAGGATATATTTTATAGAAAAAGTCGCACCAAAAATATTTTGTTCTGCGTTCCCCTGAAAAAAAAAACCAGGTTGAGAACCACTGGATTAAAGGCATATATATTGGTATATATTTCATCATCTTCATAAATTGTTATAGTCAAGAGGTTTTGAAAACAAAAGAGAAAACAATCGTTTCCGAAGCAAACAGAGATGGATAAAAATTGCTTCTTGAAAGTTTTATGTTTTTTTTTAGGGCAATTGAAGTGTACTGTGACAGTAACTGAAAATTGACTGGAATTCAGGAACAATATAGCCAAATTTTTGCATTATGAACTCATTTATCGCATCATTGCGGATCTCAGGAGTAATTCCTCCCGGAGTTGATGGGTGGCTTTCTTTAAGCTCTCATTAACTTCTACATCGTTGCTTTTCATATTCTGAGCAAATTCTTCAATTTCGTCTGTTCAATAACAAGAAGAAATAAATAAATTATCGCGAATAAACCTATATACGAGTGGTTGCAACTTTGTTTGATACGAAGTAATATATGTAAGTAATAAGTCATATAATATTGGAAATCTTTTTCGTGATGGCAATTAGTATGTAAAGTGCACCAAATGCATTGATATCGATATAATTTTTAAATTCGTGTTATAAGAATAGTGAAAGCGATAAAAATATCGAAACATTGAAAATGGACAAGTGCTAATTTCCACTACAGGATGTATCAGAGCATTAATCTCCTTGTTAAAAAAAAACATTTCACCCAGACTGCATTCCAGAGACTGAATTCAATGCAGAAACCATTTGTTCATGTCGTCATCCGACAATTCGTCTTCGAATTCATCCTTCGCATTCTCCAAAAATTCTTGAAACGAGTCGCTGTCCTATATACAGATAAATAACAGCAAGAAGTAAAAAAAAATGATAGAATAATAAAATAAATTAATAAAAGACAAATAAAATAAAAAAGGGCTAACCTCGCTTTTCAGATAGGCCAGTTTTCCAAAAAAATCACGATCCCATCCAAGAAGTTTGAGACCGACTTTAGCAATGCCGCCAAGTACTTTTCTGGAAAAAAAAGCCAAATTATTTTATCCTTATAAAATAATATTTTTAATTATTTTATCCTTATAAAATAATTAGCCTGTTAATGCTGAACTAGTGATACCAATGAGGGTACGCTCTATCTTTCCAGTTTAACCAACGGAATTCTGGTCTTATATTCCCTTTCGAAAGAATGCTATTGGGCTATTAAACAGCAGATTTGCGGAGCATACGTGCATGGCGTATTTTGTCAAGAAAATGAAATAAATATGATAAAACTTGTTCTCGTAAATAATCATGATTCTTTAGTCTGATTGAAAAATTGCAAATGTGTCGAGAGAAATCTTTTTCCGAAAACCTATCATCAAAATACACTCTTACCAAAAATATAACAAATAAGTGTAAGCTAATAATGTCACCGAATTTAACTAGTGCACTTTTCAATAAATTGCCAATATTGTTACATTATATAACCAATGGATTCAATTAATATGAAATTTACCCTGCCTTACGCCATCCTCTACCTTTCTTTCCCCGGCGTCTTCTTCGACCCCAGGAATCACCATGTTGAATTGCTAACAAAGCAACAAAAAGCAATAGAACGAGAAACTTGAAATTCATCTATGAAATTCATTATGTAATATTAAGTTATAGTTTCTAGTTTTGAATATACTTTATTGTTCAAAAGTACGTTCCCCTAGGCCTATCAATTCTTTCTGCAGTGCAAATATAGTGAGGAGGTATCAACTTTGAGGACAATATTTCAAAATAAAAAACACGGCGTCAGTTTTGGTAGATCAATGAGTAGTAAACATTTTCATGTATGTAAACAGATATTTATCACTGATGGGGCAATCTGTGCCTAAGATGTTTCTCAATGCGTCGCGATCTGTCTGCATATCACATTGAACACGGGAAGAAAAGAGCTCAAAAAGTTTGAACCGAAAGCCAAATTCTAATTATCAACACGAATCGTTTAACAAATGATAGGCAGGAAAATGCCCAGTTCTTACCATTAACATCTTCTGTGTGTAGATTCGCATCAATATGATTTGCAACAAATTTTTCGCGTTTATATACTTCTTCGTTGGTGGCGTTTTACCCAACAGCACGCTTGACTAAGGCAATACAATTTTGTTTTTCTTCATAACAAAAATTTTCCCAGACGTTTATGAACAGCAAATTATTATTTATTCTATGTCAAAAATAACTTTGGTAGGAAATTTTATGGAAATTCTTGTAATCGGAAGTTGAATGCACAATAATATTGGGCTTGTAGGCTAACATACGTTTTGAATGTAATTCGTTTACTATTTTCAGCAACATCTCGCCTGGATTCGATTTTAAAAAGATTGATATCGGGACATTGGAAGACTTGCTATATCACAATCCCGTCAATATTGCCCTAGGCCAAAAAATGATAGTGTATCGAAGACAATTTGTTTATCTTAAAGATAAATAAACTTTTTGCATCGTTGCTAGCAGTATCCAGATCTTTCTAAAATTTGAATATAGTAAATGGTGGTAACAAATAGTTCAACAGACTGCCAGCTCGAAGTTATGACATATTAATCAACTTCATTAACAATGAACTGAGAACCAAAAAAGCACAGTGATGAAATAAACAAACATCCGCTGGAATACACACGAGACGCAAAGACCCACACAAAACTTCGACAGAATTTCGTCAACTTGATGGCCTAACAGATTGTGGATATATCACATAATAATTCCTATTCATTCACTGAAATGCTCATTCCGAATGTTTATATTCAGTAAATCCGAAGCTTCATCAGAAAAACAAATAGCACCAAATTGCTTTGAAATGAACCAGAGATACACGCGTTTTTATTTCTTTTGCATCTAAACCAAATATACTTTTCTATTTCATATTGTGACATAAAAAAATATCTGTTACTCAATATTTTCTAAAATTATTCCGGGCAACAAACAAACCAATTGATTTAGACAAATGATTAAGCCAATTGAACTCTATTTTGAGCCGAACAGTAAAATATATATAGTGTATTGTGAACATAGCTTCAAAGACGGAATTTGCTATAATTTGAAATAACAAAATGAGAATTTATATCAAAAATTACGAGTTTACTACACCTTTCTATATAAGTTGTTTGTTAATACAAATATAATTTTTTATTTTAATATAAAATACATGTTGTAGAATTAAGCGCAAATCAGTTATTTTATTTAGGTACTTTATTGCAAAAATTCATGTCCAGCTGAATATTGCTTAATATTCTATTTTGAATCTAATTTTAATAAATTTTAGTATTTTAGATACTCCTACAAAATGAAATGATGTCTCCGATGTTTTAATTTTTTCGATAAAATTAAAGTACTACTTATCTCAGATTTGGCAGATATAGTGAAATAATGATACACATTACATCTGGTTTTAACAGTAATTCTCTTTACATTTTATTTATGATACGTATACCCACTTCTCACTTCACTTTACAGATGAACAATAATAACATTTAATTTCAGGAATATTCGTTTATTTGTTGAAATGTCTCAAGATCAAACTTTTGCTCATATACCGCAAAACTAAAATCCACTCTTTAATAAACATATATATGTTAGATTTTGTTTTTGTGAAACCGAAATAATATATCGTCGAAATGCACTATCCGTCCGATAAAATTTGAATTTCTGAGTAAATAAAATATCATGTAATCATTTTAACGCATCATGGCTGCTCTGTTTGCCAATTCCTCTGCGACTTGATCTTCGTCATTTCTTCTGCTGTCCTCCATCATGGTCTGGGCAAGTTTTTCAATTTGGTCTGTTTTAAAATTATTAATATTAGAAAAATGGCAATGTATTCTATTTAATATACTTTAACGAAATTGACTAGTATTAGTGGTTTAAAATGCAGCGAGGAATGTTTCAAAATGTGGTTATTGGCATGGGCTGTTTCATGCAAAATCAATGCACGCCGGTAAATCAACGTGTTCGAAATGTAAAACCTTATGGAGTAGAATTAAAATTGGCAAAACTTTTTACTTTTAACTTTTTTAAATCAACTTTTACCTCCCAAGTGTCAATTTCCAAAAAAAAATATTTGTACGCTTTATTCAACTTAAAATTCAGTTTTTTTCAATAAGACGTTTATACAATATCCTACCTAAGTTCATACTGGCGATACCATGTAATGCAGATATATCTCTTGGTGCGTTGTGCAAATATTGTTGGAATGAGTGGCTATCCTAGATACAATAGTATTAAATAATATATATATGATTATTCATAGGAAGTGATGAGCTAAAATTCACACGAGGTTATAATGTTGCGACAGTGTCTGCTCTGTTGACAGGAGAGTAGTTTAAATTGAAATAGGGAATTGTCCATTCAAAAGCAAATTTCACAGCTGCTAATTTAGTAAAATACGTTTGGCCTAAAATGAAAAGATTTAGCCTTTGAGAATTACCTCATTTTCAACGTTTGTCATTTTTTCCGAAGGTCTTCGGTCCCACTTCAGCCAAGCATGTCCCAGGTCAGATGCCAGTACGGCGATTAGAAACAGATGAATAAACGTCTTGGAATTCATCTAAAATTGTATGTACAATGTTGTAATATTATTTCTTGAATCCAAATCATTCAATCATTATTTAGTACTACATCGACAATACTTAGACGGCAATTTGAATGCAAACATCGTGTTTTAAATTTTATTGACAAAAAGGAAATATAAAAATAAAATGACTCGATCAATATTATATTTTTTATAGGATAACTCATTCGTAACACAGTCTCAGACTCCAAATATCGGCCATATCAAGTGGAGAAATCGGCCAATATTGGCCATCAATATCAATCAATATCATCAATATCAATTCGATGTCAGCCAACCTCGTTACAAATATAGTACTAACTAGTCCAGGGTGGTCCAAACCCAGGCCCGAGGGCCACATGTGGCCCGCCGCTTCATTATCTGTGGCCCGCGTCACATTCGGAGAGTAATCAAAAAATCGCATTGCGTGTTGTTTCGTAATAAAATTGATCAGAAAAATCTTTTGACATATTGTTACATCAATAGTATCACTGACTAGTATCACTGACTAGTGTTATGGACAGCTGAGGCAACTAGCGAAGTTGAATGATGTTCATGGCAGTCTAAATCATTATCATTTCTATCTTTTTGGTCGGGAATATCGGTATGCTAACAATATAGACATCATAGAAAACTAAAATCGAATGCGGATTCTATTAGCCTGGGATGGCTATGTCTGATAACTATGTGTTTGCAAAATAAAAGTGTTTGTTTTGTATTGCACTGTTTACCTATTCTTGGCAATATTGTGGCCCGCGAACAATGCAAAAATAATTTTGTGGCCCGCGAAGCCGACCGCCTTGGACCAACCTGAACTAGTCGCTTAAAAATTTATTTTCGACTCTCGTCCTCAGTATAATAGCAAATGTGAAGTGGTCGATCTTTTATAGGCTTCGCCGCTAGACCGTTGCAACGTTTATAGGATGTATGACAAGATGTTTGGTAATGAACGGAAGGACAAGGACCAGCTTTAAATCACGAAACTTGGAAATTTGTAACCTGCTTTAAACCCTGTAAGGCACAATATAGAAAATTTCATAGTTCAATACATCATGGTGTAATACCATGTCTTAGCTTAAAGTTCAGCACAGTGGTTAATCTTGAATAAACGAAAGGTAACTTCCCAATACGTACTTATTCCTTGTAAAATTGAAAAAATGGCCACACGAATTCAGATTTTTTAAAGAAATAAAAGACATTCTGATATGCGGTGCCTATTTCCTTCCTGCATATGAGGAAATACGTCTATTTCTAAATAGTTTAAACTTTAAAACAAGTGTTTCGATCATATAGTTTGATTTCAGGCAGTCAAGGCTTCTTTGCAACCTTTTGCTCCTCTTTATTCTTTGCTTTGACATAAATCCTAAATGGGTGAATATATTTTGAAAAATATTGCGATAAAACAGAATCGTGTTGACTACGCAATTTGTTATGTTTTGTTATTTAATGACACTGCATGCAACCGTGGAAAAAGTCATTGACGCTTGAGAAAAACCACTAAAAATTAAAATTATTAGAATTCGAACTATTACACTTCCACTATTTAGCTAAAAGCAAAAGCTGTTGTTAACCATCTGTGCATGAAAAGGAAGTCAAGGCCGTCGTGTAACGAATGTTGAATGAAATAATTAACACTATGATAAGGTTTGTTTATTAAGTCGCTCAGACTTCACGGTCCTAACAGCGTCACTAAATTTTTTAAACTCAGAATATTGCGGAAATTCCGATTACTGATCTGTAAACGTATAATTATAGAGGAAAAAATTTATACGGAGGTTGAATAGGACGTGACATCAAAATAGAAATATTGACATAACAATGCGAAATTAGTGCTGGCGAAAATGCGAGTAATAAATTCATTTTTTTTATCACATAAACAATATTTTTTCCCAAAGCAACGCAACAACATTATACACGTCAGCAAATTCTAAAGTGAGAATCGACAAATAGAAATAATCAGATCAAAATAGAAACCTGGAATAACGTTGAACTTTGAAAATTCAAACAAATATGAAAGATGAAATCCAGACACAATTTATGTAACAAACTATTTTAACAATCATATTTTTATGGCAGAAGTTCTCAGCATTCTTTATTTCTTGCACAAAGAGGAGATAAAAAGTGTGTAGGACTGGATCGTGTGAAAGGTACCTCAAACGTAATTTGCATATGATGCATAACTTGAGCAACGGAAAAAACTGTTAATCATTTATACATCAATTTTTTTATTGAACTCGAAAATTCAATACTATTGATCAAAATAAAAATGTTCTTCAAACATACACAATCCGTTATAGAAATTTGGTCTCTGAGGAACATAAAACATGTGATTCAGGTATTATAATAACTTGTGAATGCAAATCAGTGTAACTATTTGTTTATACGTTGACAGTCCAACGATGATGCTGTGCTGTATTACTTCATTTAACACACTCATTTTATGATTGACCCGCTTACTATTAGCGACAGCAATTCGCTATGTATTTGTTTTTCCTTTTTAGTAAAATTTACTAACATATGTATTTCACTTTAGATTTTAAATGTGCTTTAGATTTAAGTTGAATAAAGCCCCTTATCAGGGCACTCGATTTCTCATTCATTACAGGCATAATATATTGATGTATATTTAGTATGAAAGACAGGATTCTTGTTTGGTTTTTGTTGTTATTAGCTGGTTGACAGCTGCAATTAAATATATGCTCGAATTATTTGACCATTGGACGTACGCCGTAGTAAACTTTTTCAATCCACCAACTATCTATAACCTATTAGGAACGCATGTTTCTATCCTAATGAACTCAAAGCCATGGATGTGCCTACATGGTGGTCGGCATGACGGCACCACAGGCTCGGCAGTAGAGAATTTGGTATTTGCATTATGGTAGTTGCAAAGATTTGTATGTGCAATGAACTACCAGGGGGCAGTGCGTTTGTTCCACTATTATCACCATTGTGAGCAGAATGGCCTGTTTTCTACTTTTCAAACGAGCATCTATACAAAGTTTTGTATTTCATTAGGCTTCAGGCAGAACAGTCAGCAAACTAAGTAGTGGGTTCTCGCGTCAGGAAAATGTCCGAAGCACCTTTGCAGTAATACAGATAGAAATTCTACCGCATTTGATTTCATTTCAAACTAAAAGATATTGGCATATATACGATAGACTAGGGAATTGGTAGAGAGTCCCTGACCCTGCTGGGAAGATACCAGTCGGCCTATTAGCAATTTAGTTCGAGCACTTCAATTTTTTATCAACGTCAATTTGCATAGAAAAGACGGCGTTCATTGAATTACAGGTTCGTCCCAAGTAGAGATAATACGTAGTTAGTTAATTATGCTACAGTTTATAACAAAAGAGTTCCGTCTGCAGTCTACACTCATATATATAACTCCGATTTGTTTCGCGACTCAACTTGCCGTTTCTGATGAAAATTAAACCAGACATTTTCCTATTGCCTATTGCGCGGAAAATAAAATAGCCTACTCCCATTTATTATTGCGTGGTCGTCTTCACTGCCGTGTATTTATTTGAAGCTCAACCTCAAACCTATTATGCAATGAAAAGTGTAGGAATGTTCATTAAATGGAATTATGATACCAACTTCATTGGATGTTTAGGGTAATTGCAAGAGTTATTGTGTCAGGTTGCTTTCTGTTCATATTACTGCCAGTGGTGTTGTGAAAACTTTCCATGTTCCATTCTCAGGTTTTGGGGAAATTCTGATAACCTAAACTGACCTCTCGGAACGGGAAGAAGCATAGGTCAGTAAGTATTAAAACGGAAGTTAAACTTAAAGAGGCACCAGCATTAAAATTTAAACTGTTCAAACCGCGAGACGCATCTTTCGAAAAAATTTGAACTAAAAATAGATGATCAAACTAGCTCGATCAAAATTGAATAATTAATTCTTGCAATGGAGTATATTTATGATTGAACAGAGACGCAGTAAATTGTATGTCGATAACACGATACGCAAGGGCGCAGAGGTAAAACTTGCAACAAATACGTGCTATCTGATTTTTTTAAATAATTTAAGGGTTCGTTCTCAAAAACGAATTGTGGGTACTCGTACTACACACAAGGATTCGAACAACAAGGTGATCCGCAAATTCAAAGGAATTGCACAAGGGCGTTAGGTCAAATTTCCACAATACTTGCAAGTCATATAGCAGGGGTGGGCAACCCCTGGCACGCGTGCCAAACTTGGCACGCGAGTCCATTTATCCGGCAGGCGAGCGAGGCCTCGGAAATGAAATCATTCTCCTTCCGATAAAAGGTTTCAAGACTGAAATATCTGATGAGACCCGATGTTCGTTTATTCATTATGATTTTTTAACAATCCGTTATTTGTTTAAACTTTTTTTTTCCTTTCGTGACGTTTGGCTACAAAAAAAATAAATTATGACTTTGCAACTGCCTTACTTTATTGAGTCTCATAATAAGAGTAGCCTGAAAGATGAAACCAGTAGTTTGTGTATTTCTTTGTAAGTTATAAAATATAAACTCAATGTAAAATCTCTATCAGCGGTAATGCAGCAGCAGAAGTCTCACTGATATAGAATAAGAAAAGTAATCACATCTATTTGCCGGACTGATATTTTTCCGATTAGTGAATCTGTCTGTACATGTTTGAAAGGTTAGTTCTTGTGTATCTCTGCTTTGAAAGTGGCAAAGCATTGTTTTTTAACTTTGGTTGGCACGCGGAACAATTTTGTCGTTAAATTTAGCCGATTTTGGCACGCGAGCCGAAAAAGGTTGCCCACCCCTGATTTAGAACTTCTGATGTAGGTCGACCATCATCCACGGAATAGAGCAATATGTTGCACCGATTTTGATGCATTCGCTTGAACTACAGGACCACTCAGTATAATTTGAATAGAATTACATTGAAATATGGATAAGTACATTTTGTCTCTTTTTTCCTAATGTACGCATTGCATTTCGATTGCGACTCTGCCAGCCAGCCTTTAATAGCCCCATAAAATATAATTGCGACAACAAAGGATTATTTCACATTATTTTTTTTATTTCAATAAAATTATGGTTGAATCGTTATGGGCCTAATAGTTTTGGTGGTCAGTGTGTACTAATTCACGTAAAACTAATAAAGATGACGATAATCATATATTTATTTGAAATTCAGATCCATAGCATTATTCAAGATTGGCAATTCTCATCGACAGTTCTTCCTTGACTTGATCTGACAAAGGATCATGCTCAACATTCTCCATCTCCTCTTTTATCATCGACATGAATTCGGCGCGTTCGTCTGATATAAAGGAATATAATTAACATTCGGTTGTATAGTTGATTTACTCACTAGGTATTAAAAAATGTTGTAAGTGCTACTACTTTGCATGCGGTCAAAATTTCTTGTTAATTGTTATCCTTTCGTATATATGAATAAAATCACCTTTTTTGCGTGGCGTTTCGTTGGGCCAATTTAATGATAATTTTTGGAATTACATTTCGAGGGTAGGATTAAATATTATTTATTCTTGATAGAATTCCCTTTTGCGGGGCTTGTTGACATTAAGATAGGATAAATGTGAATGATATCACAAAAACCTTAAATAACTTGCCTTTCTTCATATCAGCAACATCGTCTATCATTTGCATTATATCTTCACTGTCTTGATCGGGATAATTTTCTTCCAAAGCAGATTTTAGGTTGTCCATGAAATCTCCATACGATTCGAGATCCTTAAAATTAAGTTAACTATATATATTTAATAAATACAAAAAGACACTCAAACCAATTACAACATCTCTTCGATTATACTCAATATACCTGATTTTTCAAAGTTGCCAAATTTTCCAAAGCTTCGTTGTCTCCAAACAGTTTAAAAATGGCGCCTCCTACTTTATGAATAACAGACCTGTGCACGTAAACAAAAACGTCACAGTTACGTTTGAAAATAACACAAAAGGTTTTTCCTGGAAAACCACTAAAACTCACAAAAAAAAATGTTTTTTCTAGTTTCACTGCTTGATAAGGTTATTTCACGGGGTGTTTTCACTTTTTAAACAAAGGTTTAAATAAAACAAGAAGAAATGTTGTGTTAAGCGCTGTGTTGTTGTGGTTGCATGTGACAAAATAAAACCATTTATTCTTATATATTTATGACTGTTTGATAAAGTGAGCAAATAACGTTGTCCAGTTAACATAATGAATATATATCTAGTAGAACCATTCAAATAACAGAATAAATCTGTGCTATGCTCAAATATATGGGCACGTAGCGCCACTCAATGGCAATAATTTGATGACGTCATAGCGAAAAAAAAGTAATAGCTTTCTGGAGAAAAGTTTTATCTTTAGCCACTGAAAATTTCAAATCAATTGGTCCAGTATTCGAAAAGAAAAGCGATTTTTTAAAAATGGAGACGGAGACAAATAACAATAACAATAACAACAAAATTTTGAAACGATCGTTATGTCCACTTCGTGTCCAATAATTCGTGTGATTTTGTCAGTAAAGCCACTATATCTATAAATCAGAAATGAATATCAGAATAAGCAAATTATATACCCAACTTATAATTTACTCATGCAGTAAAACTTATGTTTAACAATCTTTACTTGTTTTTTTTTTGTAAAAGTTGATCCCTTTTTTAACAAATCGTCCCACCCCCGGACTACTCTGCGGAACCAACCTCCTCTTCTACCTCTTCTTCTACGACGTCCCCAAGCATCGCCACTATCGATTGTCAACAGGGGCAATAAGAAGCAGTAAGGCAAGAAATTTGAAATTCATCTGAAACCAAAAAATTATAAAATACAAGTAACGAACGATACTTTTTCTTCAACCGCAAACTATTTTTCAAAATGTCGGTAATTGGTATTTTTTTTTATCTTTAAACCTTGAAGTGCTCCTGTGTTACAACAGAATAATTTAGAATATTAGTTAAGCTAAGACGTACGATATTGGACCTATTATACTCTTTCGTTAATGTTTCATGTTATGCATACTTTTCATACACAAATATGCTTTGTATACAAGTATCCTATATATATCCTTTCCCAAAATCACAGCAATACACTTGGTGAAAACTACAATTTTTGACGTCGAAGCCGTCCAGTGAAGATGTCGTGAAAATATTCAGATCACTTACCTTGAGTAATCTGGTTTCTCAGATCATCAAACTAGTTTTGTTGTGAATCAACTTCTGGGCGAACGCTCTTTATATCGAATCATCGGTCATTATTTTTATTAAAATTGATAAGTCGTGTAGTTTATCACGTTGCGTATATTGTATCACGTATATTGAGGCAAACCATTTTTATGCAAATTGAAATTGGCCAAGTTTTCCAAGCAGTGGAGCTGAAGGATTGGATATTGTGGAGCAAAATTGATCATAAATTAAAGTTTATTAAATTTCAAGTTCTCAAATGCTCCTTGAGGAGTCGCTTATATGGATGTTTTTTATGGTACCTATAATGAATCGAGAGAGAAATGTTTATTTGAAATTGCTTTGATAACTTTTTCTCATTAAATTAGGTATGAAATTCCGGTTTATTTTTTCGCATTTTCGTTACTTATTATCATAAATTAGTGTCCATATGTTTATGATTGCTTTGTTATATTTCAAAATTTATTCAATGTCTCGAAACAGAAAGGATATAACGCTGACGCACATGAGGCAACATATATCCATATGTTTGCTCGGCATGTTATTTTAAGAAACAAATAACGAAACGAAACTTCATACAAGCATGTCCCAATTGTTTTCACACTTTTTTGTAGCGGATATGATAGAAATCGGCGAAAGAAATCATGTTTGAGACTTTGATATATAGTTAGATAAGCTATGAAAACTGGCATAGGTCTATCAACAAGTTCCCTTTTGAGGGTGAAAAATGCTATTTTCCTGGCCTGCGTCATACATGCTGCGTCATAGGAGTATGAAACTAATATTTTTCAATTGTTTCGTGAACTTAATATTGTCTAACAACGTTTAAAAGGTTACCAAAAATTTAAAGGAAGTTTGAACAATTTTAATATATCAAACGCTATAGACCCCTCTATTCCACAATTCTGCATATATTTTATAAATGAAAATTTGAAATTATCGAACTCTGGAAAGATGGTGATTTTTTATACATCTGTTCAGCAGATTTGATATAGGTAGGGTTTGTAACTCTAAGGTACAATTTGTATTTCTTCCTTTTTGGCTCAACATTGTTCATCTCAATTTTGACAACAATAAATACTAACAATTATCATCTTTGTTGAGTTAACTTATAATTTTGATGCATTTATGTACATTCATTTTTTAGGAAAGGTCGGATGATATCTATATTTGATCAATCAAGAGAATGAAGAATAAACCGAGCCAGTTCAGATTAGCAGAATATTACGAGCTGCTTTGAAGAGATCGTTTGATGCGCACACAATTGTTCTCCAAATCGTGAAAAGTCAGACGGAAGAAAAGAGAATTAAATGAGTTGAAAAATGTTAAAAGAGGAGAAAATTGAAATGCAAAAATTTCTTATGAGTGTAAAAAAAATGACATAGTATATATTTATTCAGAGAATTGCTATCGAATACGCACTACACAATCCTACAATAAGTATCCTTAAAATCTTTCAGCAATAAAGAAAATGAATGAATTCCACGTGTTCATGACTACTTGTTATATTTTTACATTTAGCTCGAAACAGAAATCATATAACGCTGACGCACATCACTTAATAATAAATCCATATGGTCGCATTTTTATTTTATCTAAAAGGCGAAACCGATTTGCATACAATTATATTGTACATGCTGAGAAGCGTAATAATGGTTTACGAACTCAGATCATATATATATTAAATACTCAGATAACCTGTGAAAAAATACTCATTGCACTGACCAGTATTTATTTATATATTAAAAATAAAACTATTTCCATGCTCACTGCAATACACGTCCTGCATGAGAGAGACAAAATAAAAAAAATGAGCTATTTAATCTTTTGTGTTTTATTGGTGAATTTCATGATTAATACCGAATCTTATGGATATTTCAAGCTCTCTAAAATATTTCTTATCGGCTGATATGATGAACTACATTGAGGTATTTAATTCACCTCACGTGTGGATTTATTCCCTTCTTATTATTGCTTAATCATACGGCGGACCACGGTATGTCGTCCGGTTACCACCAAGAATTTATCTGAATTTTTCGTCTGTTCGAGATTTGCACGCAAATAAAGCAAGCTTCGTAAATTAGTGTGAAGTGATCTGGAGGAAAATGACGTACCAAACGCGCAAGGAGGAGATCGTTTGAAGCTCCTGAAGTATGTGCACCAAGATGACGCAAACAACCTGAACATAGTATGTGTACCAGGTTAAGGATTCACAACCTGAACATAGTATGTGTACCAGGTTAGGGTTCAGGTTGTGCGCCATCTCGGTGGACATACTTCCGGAGCGCCAAACTTTTAGATAAAATCGAATTAAAGCGGGGAGGTTACAATATGCCAGTTGTGAAATATCGAGTGCTGATGTTATTACTTATCGATTTTAATCGGTAAGTACGTTGATAGGTATTTGTCTGTCTGTCTGTCCGTCTGTTGCAGATTTTGTTTGCATGTGCATTCATCATATCTCGAACCAGAAGCCTATTGATTTTGGGCGAATTATGTCGTATAATTAGCGAGTTATCAATTAATTAGTGATGGGACACAAGGTGTCACTATGGAATATGAGCGCTGTCCCCTAACTTTCGATCGATAAGTCTTCGGTCTCTGAAAGATATTCTTGTTTTTTTTTTCTTCTTGGCTCAACATTGTTCATCTCAATTTTGACAAACAATAAATGCTAACATTTATCTCTTTGTTGAGTTAATTTACTAAACTAATTCCGATGCATTCATGTACAGTTCATTTTTTCAGGAAGGTCGGATGATATTTATATTTGATCATCCCAAGAAAAACACGAGGAAAACCGAGCCACTTCGGACTAGCAGAATATTACAAGCTGCTTTGAAGAGATCGTTTGATGCGCACGCCGTGTTCTCCAAATCGGAAAAGTCTTAAGGGAAGAAAAGAGGGAATTGAATGAATTAAAAAGAGTTAAAAAAAAGGAGAAAATTGAAATGAAAAAATTGCTTATGAGTGTAAAAGCGATTGACATAGTATATATTTATTCAGAGAATTGCTTATTGAATACGCACTACACAATCCTACAATTAAGTTCCTTAAAACATTTCAGCAAATAAAGAAAATGAATGAATTGCACGTGTTCATGACTACTTGTTAAATTTTTACATTTAAGCTCGAAACAGAAATCATATAACGCCTGACGCACATCATTTAATAATAAATCCATATGGCCGAATTTTATTTTTATCTAGAAGGCAAAATCACTATACATACAATTAGCTGTGAAGCGTACAATGATTTACAAATTTGGATCATATATATATATATATATATATATATATATATATATATATATTAAACTCAGATAAGCTATAAGCTGTGAAAACTTACTCATTGCGCTGACCAGTACTATATATTAAAAATAAAATTATTTTCATGCCCACTGCAATACACGTCCTGCATGAGAGAGACAATATAAAAAAAATGACCTATTTAATATCTTGTGTTTTATTGGTGAATTTATGGTACCCAATGGTATCGATGTTTCAAGCTCTCAAAAAGATTTATTTTCGGCAGATATGATGAAAAAACGGTTAAAATAGATGAAAATTTACTTCACCTCACGTATGGATTTGTTCTCTAATTAATTAATATGGAATATATGAACCAAAATCCATTTCAATAACTCGTCTGGTTTGAGGTTTTGCATGCAATAAAGCAAGCTACGTAAATTCATTGGTGAACCTGATTTGGAGCAAAAATGACGTTACCAAAGGCGAAAGAAGAATATTCTATAGCTGAACTCAAAGTAAGGCAGGGATACTCTAGGCCAGGGGTCGGCAATCTACGGCCCATGTTGCCATATCCGGCCCGCGAGGCTTCACTGAAATTTAGCGACAAAATGGCGGTTTCTAATTTTAACCATAATTTAATTTTAAAACCTACGCTCGAGGAGCAGCAGATTATTGGATCACTTTCCGGTCGTGACTACTGGCTTATCAAATAGCAGGGTATCTAAATTTGCATATTTTTTCCAATATGGCCGTCGCTATAACTGCCTAGCCTTCTTCTATCGAATACAAAAATACACATCATGCTAACGCATTAGCTTAGAGTTAGACCAATGTCTTCGCTATATTTGCATCGAAACCATGTCGACGTTAGCCATAGCAGGATAAATATAAACACGAGAAGCAATGATCAAATATATTGACACAAAGTCAAACCGGGAATTTTAATCTCCCCAAAATCATCCTGAACGAAGCTGCAACTGTGGAACAGCTACAGTAACTTACCAGTACCAAAGTACCGGTACCCGGACTGTCCTAAGTTTTCCAGTTTTTTTAACGATGATGATCATGCATTCAGTTTCAACGTGAATGAAATACCAAATGACTGGAGTCCACAACTGTAGTAGCAAATATTTTACAGAACCGATAGCCTACTTTCAGCTTAATAAAAACTCCCGTCTTCGTTGACCAAGAGATCGGTGACATGTGGTCACGAAACGCTGAAGTAATTTTAATTTTTAACATCACTACACAAAAAAAAACGATTCCCTTTGAGTCAGGGCCGGATTTATACGTTGAGGGGCTTGGTGATGTCATACGTGAGTCCCTTTTCGAAGATGACGTTATTAATAGAGTGTAAAGTTTTCCAAATTTAGAAAAAAATTATTTATTCGGCCGTATATTAATTTTTTAACTTTCTGAACGGAAATATTTGGGCAAGTATTATCAACCTGAATAACAAAACTAAATATCATTTTTATTTTATTTTAAATCGTTTATATTCCAAAAAATGCCTTCAAAGTATCCGCCCATAATTGAAATTATAGTAACCCGGCCCTGCATAGAGCTTACAGCTATTTTTGACATAAATTAAAGTAACAGCCTTCTACGACAACAACAATTTCAGCCACTGTAAATTTCAAAGTAATCGGTCAGATAGTTAATGAGAAAGGCGATTTTTCACAACAACAAAAGCAAAAAAAAATGCCAACAAGAACAACAAAATAATAGCAATAGTGGCTCTGCAGCGCCGTCTTGAGACAACTAACGAACTCAAATTTCCATTGAGCAATTTATATATACAGATTAACAGCAAATATATATATAAGTTGCAAATTAACTTGGCGTTTTTTGTGTTTCCGTTGAAAATATGACTTTTCTTATCATCATTGAAAATCTGCAATTCCGACTCCGAGGAATACAGATTTTCGACTCCAACTCATGACTCCGAGGAGTTCGGTTTCCGGGGCCCTGACTTTGGTGAAAATATGTCAAACTGTGACTTCGATTCCCGACTCCACAGTCCTATTTTGCAGAGAATCAGTTGTCTTCCAGAATTCCTATATTTGACTCATATTTTATTGTTGCACCACAATATTTCAGAAATGATTTCTAAGTTCTGGCATGTCAAAAGAGATTCGAAGCAACTATGTTAAGTAAATATTTGATTTCACCAATAGAACTTTGATTTACGATGTAAATCGTATTTGATTTAATTCTTTTTTGCTATTTTCGAGACAAGTCTTTCTGTCGGTTAGTGGATTCCTAGTTCGAGTCGAATCTTTTCATTCGAATGACTCGTCGAATATTTGAAAAAGGTCTCTTGATTCTTTCCAACGCTGTATAGGTGAAATATCCCACGAGAGTTTTCCGACAGAGATTTTATTTTACATTTCAAAAATACATTTTTAAACAGTAACAAATTGAATAAGCAATGAGCATATATACAATGAGTGGAAACTTCCAAATATTTGCTCATTAATCCAATGTACCCTGCATTTTTAAGTCGTCCAGCTAAATGGTTCGTTGCATATGAAGAAAGCACATCGTTCGCTGCAAAAATCCCTTGTTTCTGCTGGGTCGAGTGCGAAATTGGCCGTATTGAGGCTTTTAATTTTTCGAATCGTGTTCGGTTTTGGGTTTCGAAGTATGGTACGTTGAAAGCATACTAACTATAAGCATATGCATATTGGGAATACATATATATCTATTAGGCAGAAAACGTAGCTACAGAACAGAATATGAATCAGTCGCCACGTGGGGTGCAGTTATTGCTGTATTTATTCATTGATATAACATGTGACTTACATATTTATCCAGGGGGAGAGGAAAGCCGAAATCCTAATAAATGGCGAACCACGGCCTCTCCAAATAGCTCTGTGCTCCAAATGAACCCCCAGGCTGTCTGGATTTTGTGAGCTATTCGTATACTTATTGAAAATACTGATTTTACCTATAAATTACTCCGGGACATCTTGCCATTGAAATTTAAAATTTGCCATCTTCATGTCTTGTGAATTTACACAAAAAAGTTTGTTTTTTATTTTATTATTTAGAGTACATTTTGTTATCAATTATGATTTTTGCATGTATATTATTTAATTTTAACGATCCTTCATATAGTCATATATATAGATACTGTTGATTTGGATGCAATTATACTTTTGTAATCAATAGTGAGATATAGAATTTGAACAAGGGTCGCAGCCAGGATTTTTCCAACGGGGTGGGGGCATACGGTGAAATTAAAACAGTGCGCCAAAAGTTCAATTCACGACGGCGTGAGGCGTGTAATAAATTAAAAACAATGCGTCGTTCACAGCGAAATTCCACAGTCACGTGTAGCTCGCCTCTGTTTTTTGACGGTGTTTGGTGAATATATACAAAAACACGCTCGCGTGTAGCGCCGATCGAATCATGAAATGTGGAAATTTTCCTTGGAATTTAATGCTAACAAAGTTGATTTTTTATTGTCATTTATTGATTATTTACATGCACCGTGATTAGTGGTGAGCAAACCGTATTTTTTTTAAATAAAATTATTCGAAATTTTAACGAACATCGGCGAAGATGTTAAAGACAACTATTAAGAAATGTATTCACAACAAAAATTAATTTTATTCTGATTTTTATCTTCTGTGTTGGATTTGTATCACAGTTACGGTCCCAATTTTGAGCAAACAATATTATCATTACTGACCCCGGGATGCGATATTTGTGAAGCTGATAGTTGACATTTTTATGTTTCAATTTTATATCGTTTCCGTGTTTCTTTCATATTAAATAATAATTAAAAAACTCCGCAAATTGGTAATCTCTAGAATACTCAGTGTTGAGTATTCACGTAACTCAGGTTTGGTTTAAAACACTGATACTTAACACGTGAATAAATCAGCAATAATGGCATTTCTACGTGGTCAAAATGTTATTTCTCCGCAATATCTCGGGAAATTTGCATAGAATGCATTATTCACATGCCTTGCTTATCTGATTCAACGTTTCTAAATTTACCAAAACGATGTTGACGCGATTTACGCAAAATTAGAAATTGAAAAATATGATGGCGCAAAAATGACACAAAATAAAAAATTCTCACATTCATCGTTTCTGTCTCTTGGCGATAGCCGTCGGTAAATTATACGTAACTCGTTGTAAATTTATGTTAGTAAATTCTATTTTGCTTTTCAATGCGCCCTGCTTTGTATTAAAATAAAAGAAATCGGGAATAGAATGTCCAGAAATTAGCTCATAACCCTTCTTTCATTTCGAAGGGCGCATTCTCATTTGTCATTATCAGCGCCAACTAAAAAAATAACATATCGTAAAAATAAAAAAGTATGGCGGTGTTAATTGCGCTGCGGTGATAATACGCAGAATAATATCGTTTTGACGAAACCATAATGCGCGACCTTAAAACGACGGTGCTGCTTTTTTGTGGAGGAAATTTCGCATGAAAATTTTTTCTCAAACCAAGAGGGGGGGGGGGGTTAAGACCAGTGGTGGGATTTACCCGTTCTATAGAACCGTCTCACGGAATTTAATGAGATCATCGAATCGGTCAGCATTACTAAAAAACATGTAACAGAACCGGTCGAAAACTATGACTTTTGTGATGGAACCAGCTGACAAAAAATTTGAATCCCACCACTCGTTACGACCCATGTAAAGAGGGACGTGGGGCTTTGTATTCATTGATATAGGATGGGGTTAACATATTTACTCATGTGGAGAGGAAAGCCGATTCCCTGCTATTCTTCTAATTTTGTCTTCGTTTTTATTGTCAAGATATCCCAGACTGCCAGAGTGATTTGAAATCGGAGAGCCCTGGGGCTTCGTATGGAGCGCCTTATAAACTATGATTGCGAGAAGCTGTGGTTCGCCATATATTTAGGACTTCTTATTCCTTTCCTTTCCCATGGATAAATATGTACCTAAATCCCATGCTATAATCAGAAATAACCGCACTTGACTTCATATTCTGTGCTGTAGCTAATAGATATGCATTTCAAATAAGCATATGCTTATAGTTAGTATGTTTTCAACGTACCATACTTCGAAACCCAAAACCGAACACGAATCGAAAAATTAAAAGCCTCAATACGGCAAATTTTGCAACCGGCGCGGCCGAAGCAAGGGATTTTTGCAGCGAGCAATATGCTTTCTCCATATGCAACAAACGATTTAGCTGGACGAAGTAAATATGCAGGGCACAAGGGATTAATGAGCAAATATTTGGAAGTCATCCACTCATTGTATATATGCTCATTGGAATGAGTGAGTATCGCGGAGGTCTTTTGGTAAATATTTGCTGAATATGGTATACAGTACTGTTAAAAAACAGGCATTTATTGGAAAACAAAGAGCCATCCAAAGCCATTGACTTTCAAGATGACGCCCATTTTGCTGATAATCAAAAACTGCATCATGTTCAACTGTTCGAATGTATTCAAATATTTTTGAGAATATAGAAGTAAATTGCCGATAAGTGGGATGAGAAGTTTACGCAAGATTTGCTACTCTCATCGCCAATTCATCTTTGATCATATCTGCCAACTGAACTGTATCAAACTGGCTCAACTTCAGGCATCTCCTCGTTTGCAGTCGCAAATAAATTTTTACGATCTTCTGAAATTGGAAAACATTATAAGTATTTTATGAAGATTATGAAATATAAAGATTCAAGGATTTGAAAGCAGTTGTTTGTTGATCGTGTTTGCAGCTTTGCAGACCATGTCTTAAATTAGGATGTTCATCACCGAATGGCCATTTTTGTGACTGATAATAGTTCTTTTATTTCTTTAGAAAATACAAACCGTCGTTCATGTCAACGACATTGTCCAATGCTTCCATGAGTTGATCAATGTCTTCTTCCGGATACATTTCACTCATAGTTTCTTCCAGGTTGTCCAGGTACTCTTGATACGATTCCAGATTCTGGAAATAAATTAACAAATCATACAATTGATCTATTTGCACACTGGTAAATACCGATGATGAAAGATATAGCAGATATAGAAGTATTATAAAAGGACATAGTTTTCGTTTTTTAATTCAGCAATTTTTGTCGACATTACCTGATTCTTAAGCTGATTTAAGTTATTCTGGTCTTCGTTGTCATACGCGGCTGCTCCACGAAGTACTATTCTTCCAACTCTATGAATGGTTTTCCTGTAAAATGTTGACAGTGTTCTTGTTTAGCTATAATTCGTGACTTGTTTTTTAGAGTCCGAGGTTCATTACATCCGGATCTCTTATGTTGAAATAATTTTGTCATTTTTCGAAAATGGACTTACAAATATATATCAATGCTCTCAGCTTGCTTGCATTTTTGAGTATTTATTCGTTTGTCTAACACTTCACATTGTTGTGTGGAGGTTGTATTGTGATAGGGCTAGATATATTTGAATAAGAAATCCAACTTTGACAACAAATTTTATTACTTTCGAATATTGTTAACTTTCCGAAGTGATTGCTTTTAAAAAAATATGTTTCTTTGAGTGCGATACCAAGTTTTCCGACCAACCTGTTTCTCTTGTAGAATTTGCCAACTTTCCTGATAGCTTTTTTAGCCCTTCTCCAGACGCTTCTTCCTCTTCCCCTACCACCTCGTCGGCGTCTTCTGCGTCCCCATGAGTCACCAAGGTCGATTGTCAACAAGACAACGAGAAGCAAAATAGTGAGAAGCTTTAAATCCATCTGGTTGAAATAAAATTTCGGCGAGTTAACAAAGAGGTTTGTTTATATACGCAAGTTTCAAAATTTTCAAACAGTTTTCACACCAACCTTAGAAGTTCCTGTTGAGTTCTGCTAATTTATATAGTATTGGCGGTTGCGTATTTCATGAGTCATGACTGAGTGAGTAATTCAATATAGTTCGGTTTGTTTTTCATTGTTACTACCCTTGGTATGTTTATTATACTTGTTCAGAAAATGAATATAAATAAAACAATCGTGACTGCTATTAACTATTTGTGATAATCAACAGAGGCTCGGAACAACAATTCTGTCAGTGCTAATTTGATTACCGTTTTCTTTCCCAGCTAACGTTAAATTGACTTTTCTCTATCACGCAATACAAAATAGGTAACCAGAAATTTGATAACGACACTAAATAATAAGCAATATAACCGTTGAACGGTCATTTGGTATAACAAGGTCTTCCACAGTTGTACTTTTCGTGTCTTTCTCGGCTCGAATGTCATGATAATTAGTATTCTTTATTTCATCCCTTTCTATCATTTCAATAAAACAACATCGCACAACCTTTTCTCGCTCATTGAGAATCGAAGGTACAACAAAATTAGTTAATTAAAACGTTCACGACGATTTGTTTTCCGTCGATTTGACAGTCGTTTGTTTGACTGCCATTTGCTTCAATGGTCTCAATCAAAAGAACTATTTTTTAAGATACAACTTTATGGGTTTACTGATTCTGTTCTAGAACTCCAACGCCCCAACTAGGGTCTCATCTTTTGGCGCTCCCGTAGTATGTGCACCATGATGGTAAGGACATAATTATATTCTAATTTTTCCCATTTTAGTTCTATTACGAGTTCGGGGATTAGCCAAGTGACTCCCGTAGTATTTGTACCTGAAATTATTGTTTTACCCCAACCCTGCACACGCACCACGTTCCGGCGTCCGCCTTCTCGGTTCACATACTACATGAGTACCTGTCTTTTTAAACCAACGAAACGGCATCGTATAGCTTTTCCCCACGCTGCGTCGAACGGGAAAAGACATTTCCCAAAGATTTGATGGTCCCAAAATATGGAACCATTTCTATGTCTTGTCTAGCGGCATGATCACCAGGGTTAAGTGAATGATTGCAAAGCAAGCCAGCGAGTTGTTACAAACTATACTTGCTCTATCCAGGTGACTGACGGGGCAAAGTCAAACTGTTGCGTGATAATTTACTTGTTCACCAACGATCGTGCGTGAGATTTCCGGAGAATGTATTTAATTAACCGTGCATCAAGTGTTTGTGAGATCTTTCGCGAATTGCAATTAAGAGATTTCACTATTGTATTTTTGAGAGACACAGTTGTGTGCTCGTAAAACTCGCTTTTTACGAAGTTTAGCAAATGGGGCCCTCTAGTTTGGTATGAATGTAAGTTTTATTTAGCTATGTAACTACATGTTGTTTCTGACAATTGAAATTGCATGTTTAGATTACTGATACTATGTAATAGGATTATTTATTTTTAAATAATTTATTTATACAAATTTTACAGGGTGGACAAAATAAGGGTGAGATTTCAATAACGAGTGATTTATTATAAATTTCATAAAAATCGTTGATGACTTGGGCAGGTAAGCGTTCTTCAGGTAAAATGTTCTTGCAAATGATATTCTGATTACCAGTTGCGGATCCCATTTTAATTTTCTGGATTTTTCAATGAGTAAACTTTTTGGTACTGGGCAGGAAGAAACCCTCGAGAGCTTCATAAAAAGCCTCTCCATAGAAAGGGCATGAGGGTGTGGTGTGCAGTTGGAGGGAAAAAAATTGGTTTTACTTACTTCAGCTCTTTATGTGCGGATGCTGCATGGTGTCAATATTTAAGAATTAAAATGCCAAGGTATCGTTTCAACTAACTTCCCATACAGCAAAAAAAAAATCAATGGATGGAGGATCCTTCCCATTGCATTTGATCTATCTAATATGGGAGGACCAGCACGTGCACCTGACCTTTCACCTTGTTATTATTTCGTGTGAGAGTAAACTAAGGGCGAGGTGTACAAGAACCGATTAAAGCCATTGATGGACTGAAAGCTGCTATTTGCAAAACAATAAATGGAATTTCACGGGAAATCACTCAGAGGGTGATGAAAATTTTCAGGGTGTATTGCAGCTGTATGGAGTCATATTGAAGACGTTTCTCTCAAAAAATGGCATCAAATGTCTTATTAAGTATGTAATGAAAATTTGAAAAAGCCTATTCTTGTCTATTTTTTACAAAATGAAATGCGTTGATTTTCCTCACGTTGTATATTGAATGACTGAATCATTTCAATGTAATGCCAACGTAAAAATATCATTATATCTGGTACATAATCACGTGAAACCAATTATTTATTATGCTTAAAGTAGATAATGTCGAATAATTTAGCTCAAAATGTTAACCAAAATTATTTACCAAGTTATATTCAGTGGAAATTGGAGCTCATTGGTATATATTTCATACAAAGTTTCAGTGTAGTATTTTGACAAATGTCGATATTGTTAGAAGAAACTTTATATTATTTGTCGAGACAAAAATACTCACTACTTGCGTTTTCGATAAACATGTGTATCAAAGTTTTAAATAGTAGTCACTCATTCCACGCACAATGTAAATAATATCACCGTTTTGTTTAATGCCAACAAACGGTTTGCAAAGAGATTGAGCAGTTGCGCAAAAATAGAGGGCCGTAACTAATCATTCATCTTTTTTTTTCACCATCGTGTAATGTTTAAGTCCAACAGTAATCGGTAAAAAAATCAAACATTGTAAATTAAAACAGCAACAACAAGAATGAATAAAACATTCATTACATACAAAAATTCGACTCCAGGCACCGTCAAGTGTGGTAACCATGGGGACGGCATTCTAAGGAAGCCTAGATGCCAAGTACAGTACCGGCATCTGAATACACTGCTTTTATATGATTTTAGGGGTGATGTTCAGGTAGGAGCCGAGGTCGGCATGCACAACCGAATTAGTTCCACCATGTTTCTACCATATTTCTCTAAAAATTTACATCAAATGTTCAACGTTACATAATTTTGTTTTAATACCTGTCCTTCATTAGTGATGCTGCAATGATTCTAGATCAGTGTTTCTCAACCGCCGGGTCCGCGGCAACGTTGCTGCCGGTCCGTCAATTTTTTTCTATTATAAGCAAAATACAAAGTATTGACGGCATATCCATTAGTTTTATGATTTTTTTTTTAACTCTTATTGATTCGTAGTACCGGTATTCGTCTAACAACCGAACTTGGTAAGAAGTCCTCTGCTCATTTAAACCCTGAACAGCTGGATGTTTGTTGGGTCTATATGGCCTCATAACGGAGGCTAACGTCATAACGGAGAAGTTTGATAGCACATAGTTAGGGTTTTGTACTTTATCAATTTTAAAAAAACATCCTGTTTTAAAACAAGGGCTTGTATTGAATCAATTTTTTTCTATATTCTTTGTTAAAATACCCCTCGCATCGCCGTGGAACTACGCCATAACGTTGCGTTCTGGTAGCTGCATACGCTGCCGGAATTATATTTTCAAAAATGTAAGTAAAAATTCTTGCTTTGACTTTCACTTCTATTGCGTACATCTATTGCCAAGTATGTATCTATACCAAAGTCATACGATTTTAGGAGCAATATTTATCCGAGATACCAGAGAGACGTTTCGAGCGAGAAAAATAATGAAATTTATTTAATCAAGGGTAACCATCGGCAAAACAGGTGTGGTACGATAATGAAAAATATACTTACATCAGGGGCAACCTGAGTTAAACGACGAGACAGGCTATGATAATTGCAAGACCCCTCTGATGCAATGATGTCAAAACTAATCTGTTGTGACCCCATACTAAGAATTATGAGTTTCCGTATTGACATTTTTCTCATAAAATAAATGTATTATTACGGTTAAAACTGTTCGGTTAATTTATGCTTAGCAGACTTTGTTCTTAAGGTTAAAGTGAGAGTTTTCCAACGTTATACAAACTCATTTATTTTTAAATAGAGTTTTTCGAAGGTATACAAACTCATTTATTCGGTAGTATTTCAATTTTCGCAAAGTGGTTCTCGTCACAGGGTCGTTCACGCAATGTCTGGCAATTATCTGTTGCGTCTCCTTGCGCCAACCACGTTTGTGGACGCATCGGGAACTGCAAAAGGTTGAGAACCACTGTTCTAGATTGTTCATTACTCAATTTGCAACATTATTTATTTGCAGCATTCATTCGTGCATTGAAACATATGCTGTTTCTGTAAGTAAAAGCTTATAAATATATTGAATACATATATATAAACTATATTTGCATACATTCACAAACATATGGAACAGTTTATGGAAATAGTGCATTCTAGAATTTAGGATAAACAAATAAGGAGAGTTCAATCCAGTTGAAAATAAGGTGGGGTCAGTTTAATTATTTTACTGTCAAGCTGCCAATCTTGGTATATTCTCAAATATCTAAATGCTTTTATCTTATGCGATGCCAAATGTATTTTTATTGTGCAGGGGGGCATTCAGAGGGGGTGGGGGGGTCGAGGCTCGTAACAGCCCGTTTGAAAAAAAATTCTACCTTTTACTTACACACAACGGCGTCGTTTTATGTACGGCCCTGATGATGATGCTTTTTTTTTCGTGATAATTCTGATATTTAAGTTAGACACCTTTTCTCTTTGACAAGCGATTGCGCAATTTTCAGCATTTAGTGATAAATAAAATTATTTGAATCGCAAGGTATATTGCCAACTGTAGCGGCATCGAAAGAATGGGGGGGGGCACTTTGGCGGATGTGAAAATGAAGCATTGTTACGTCACTTTTTGCATCCTGCTGATTAGCCAATGTCGCGAAGTAAACAAAGAAGTCGATGCTCGGGTAAAGGTCCATTGAGTTATATACCATACAGCAGGGGTCGGCAACCTTTTGAACCCGGCGTGCCAGTATATGAATAATGAGCACCTTTGCGTGCCAAACATTTTTATGTGTATGGTTTGCATAGCCAACTACCTGATTTGAATAGTAAGCGGATGAGAAACAAATTCATTTTATTGGATAACGTGCATGGAAACTAGCGTACGAGAGATTTCGTCATACGGCATTTCTACATCCGACCTGTCATTGAACGACTTAAGTAATAGGTATTAATTAAGGCCATTCGCGATTAGTTTTGTGGCCAGAAACAATGAAATCGCGATAAAAACTAAAGAAGATAAAATTTATTTTGGTACTCCCGTAGTATGTGCACCATTATGGCGGACACCGGAACGTAGTATGTGTACCAGGTTGGGGTTAGGCCATAATTTCTGGTACAAATATTACAGGAGTCATTTGGCTAGTCCCCAAACTCGTAATACAGTAATAGAACTGAAAAAGGGAAAATTGGAATAAAATTGTGCCCTAACCCAAACCTGGTACACATTCTACGTTCCGGTATCCGCCATCTTGGTGCACATACTACGGAGCGCCTTTATTTCATCGTTTTTGTTAGGGTTACATGTAGCTCACGGTGGAATGATGAAAATCAGCCAGGCGCGCATGTCGGTGGACATACTTCCAGAGCGACAAACTTTTAGATAAAATCAAATTGAAGCGGGGAGGTTACAATATGCCAGTTATGAGATATCAAGTGCTGAGTGTTATTACTTATCGATTTTAATCGGTAAGTATGTTGATAGGTATTTGTCTGTCTGTCCGTCTGTTAGATGACGCGATATCTCACGAAAGCGAAATTGGATCTGCTGCAGATTTTGTTTGCATGTGCATTCATCATATCTCGTACCAGAAGCCTTTTTATTTTGGGCGAATTATGTCGTATAATTAGCGAGTTATCAGTTAATTAGTGATGGGACACAAGGTGTCACTATGGAGTAAGAGCGCTGTTTTGTGGAATCCCCTAGCTTTCGATCGATACGTCTTCGGTCTCTGACCGATATTCTTGTTTTTTTCTTCTTGGCTCTACATTGTTCATCTCAATTTTGACAACAATAAATACTAACAATTATAATCTTTATTGAGTTAACTTACTAATTTTGATGCATTTCATGTACATTCATTTTTCAGGAAAGGTCGCATGATATTTATATTTGATCATCCAAGAAAAACAGGAATAAACCGAGCCACTTCGGACTAGCAGAATATCACAAGCTGCTTTGAAGAGATCGTTTGATGCGCACGCAGTTGATCTCCAAATTGTGAAAAGTCTAACGGGAGAAAAGAGGGACTTAAATGAATTAAAAAGAGTTAAAAGAAAGAGAAAATTGAATGAACAAATTTCTAATGAGTGTAAAAGCGATTGACATAGTATATATTTATTCAGAGAATTGCTATCGAATACGCACTACACAAGCCTACGATAAGTATCCCTGAAATATTTTAGCAATAAAGAAAATGAATGAATTCCACGTGTTCATGACTACTTGTTATAGGTTTACATCTAGCTCGAAACAGAAATCATATAACGCTGACGCCTATTATTTAATAATAAATCCATCAGGCCGAATTTTATTTTTATCTAAAATGCGAAACCGATTTACATACAATTATACTGTACATGCTGAGGAGCGTAATAATGATTTACAAACTCGAATCATATATATATGAAATACTCATTTAGCTGTGAAAACTTACTCATTACGCTGACCAGTACTATATATTAAAAATAAAATTATTTTCATGCCCACTGCACTACACGTCCTGCATGAGAGAGACAATTTAAAAAAAAATGACCTATTTAATATCTTGTGTTTTATTGGTGAATATAGGGTACCCAATCGTATCGATGTTTCAAGCTCTCAAAAAGATTTCTTTTCGGCAGATATGATGAAAAAACGGTTAAAATAGATGAAAATTTACTTCACCTCACGTATGGATTTGTTCTCTTCTGAATTAATATGGAATATATGAACCAAAAATCCATTTCAATAACTCGTCTGTTTGAGGTTTGCATGCAAATAAAGCAAGCTACGTAAATTATTGTGAACGTGATTTGGAGCAAAATGACGTAACAAAGACGAAAGAAGAATATTCTATAGCTGAACTCAAAGTAAGGCAGGGATACTCTGGGCCAGGGGTTGGCAATCTACGGCCCATGGGCCATATCCGGCCCGCGAGGCTTCACTGAAATTTAGCGACAAAATGGCGGTTGCTAATTTTCACCATATTTAATTTTATAACCTACGCTCGAGGAGCAGCAGATTATTGGATCGCTTTCCGGTCGTGACTACTGGCTTATCAAATAGCAGTGTATCTAAATTAGCATATTTTTCCAATATGGCCGTCGCTATAACTGCCTAGCCTTCTTCTATCGAATACAAAAACACACATCATGCCAACGCATTAGCTTAGAGTTAGACCAATGTCTTTGCTATATTTGCATCGAAACCATGTCGACGTTAGCCATAGCAGGATAAATATAAACACGAGAGCAATGATCAAATATATTGACACGAAAGCCAAACCGGGAATTTTAGACCAATGTCTTTGCTATATTTGCATCGAAACCATGTCGACGTTAGCCATAGCAGGATAAATATAAACACGAGAGCAATGATCAAATATATTGACACAAAAGCCAAACCGGGAATTTTAATCTCCCCCTAAATCATACTGAACGAAGCTGCAACTGTGGAACAGCTACAGTAACTTACCAGTACCAAAGTACCGGTACCCGGACTGACTTAACTTTCCCAGGTTTTTTAACGATGATGATCATGCATTCAGTTTCAACGTGAATTAAAAATACCAAATGACTGGAGTCACGACTGTAGTAGCAAATATTTTACAGAACCGATAGCCTACTTTCAGCTTAATAAAAAACTCCCGTCTTCGTTGACCAAGAGATCGGTGACATGTGGTCGCGAAACGCTAAAGTAATTTTTAATTTTTTTACATCACTACACAAAAAAAAAACGATTCCCTTTGAGTCAGGGCCGGATTTATACGTTGAGGGGCTTGGTGATGCCATACGTGAGTCCCTTTTTGAAGATGACGTCATTAATAGAGAGTAAAGTTTATCAAATTTAGAAAAAAATTATTTATTCGGCCGTATATTAATTTTTTAACCTTCTGAAAGGAAAATATTTGGGCAAGTATTATCAACCTGAATAACAAAACCAAATATCATTTTTATTTTATTTTAAATCGTTTATATTCTAAAAACTGCCTTCAAAGTATCCGTTCATAATTAAAATTATAGTAACCCGGTCTGCATAGAGCTTACAGCTATTTTTGACATAAATTAAAGTAACAGCCTTCTACGACAACAACAATTTCAGCCACTGTAAATTTCAAGGTAATCGGTCAGATAGTTAATGAGAAAGGCGATTTTTTCACAACAACAAAAGCAAAAAAAAATGCCAACAAGAACAACAACATAATAGCAAACGATACAGAGGGCCATTTCGTGTCCAATTATGGTCAATCTTACTCGAAGAATGACTGGAGTTAAATGTAACTCACAGTGGCTCTGCAGCGCCGTCTTGAGACAAGTAACGAACTCAAATTTCCATTGAGCAATTTTATATATACAGATTAACAGCAAATATATATAGAAGTTGCATATTAACTTGGCGTCTTTTGTGTTTTCGTTGAAAATATGACTTCTTTTATCATCATTGAAAATCTGCAATTCCGACTCCGAGGAATACAGATTTTCGACTCCAACTCATGACTCCGGGGTGTTCGGTTTCCGGGACTCTGACTTTGGTGAAAATATGTCAAACTGTGACTCCGATTCCCGACTCCACAGTCCTGTTTTGCAGAAAATCAGTTGTCTTTCAGAATTCCTATATTTGACTAATATTTTATTGTTGCACCACAATATTTCAGAAATGATTTCTAAGTTCTGGCATGTCAAAAGAGATTTCGAAGCAACTATGTTATGTAAATGTTTGATTTCCCCAATAGAACTTTGATTTACCATGTAAATCGTATTTGATCTAATTCTTTTTTGCTATTTTCGAGACAAGTCTTTCTGTCGGTTAATGGATTCCTAGTTCGAGTCGAATCTTTTCATTCGAATGACTCGTCGAATATTTGAAAAAGGTCTCTCGATTCTTTCCAACGCTGTATAGGTGAAATATCCACAAGAGTTTTCCGACAAAGATTTTATTTTACATTTCAAAAATATATTTTTAAACAGTAACAAATTGAATAAGTGAGTATCGCGAAGGTCTTTTGGTAAATTTTTCTGAATATGGTATACTGTTAAAAAGCAGGCATTTATTTGAAAATAAAGAGCCATCTAAAGCCATTAGATTTCAAGATAACATCCATTTTGTTGATGATTAAAAACTGCATCATGTTCCGAACTGTTCGAATGTATTCAAATATATTTTTGAGAATATAAAAATAAATTGCCGATAAGTGGGATGAGAAGATTACGCAAGATTTGCAACTCTCATCGCCAATTCATCTTTGAACCCATCTGGCATTTGAATCGGCTCAAATTCAGGCATCTCCTCGTTTGCAGTCGCAAATAAATCTTTACGATCCTCTGAATTTGGAAAACATTATAAGTATTTTATGAAGGTCATGAAAGGATAAGGATTCAAGGATTTGAAAGCAGTTGTTTGTGACTGAGAATAGTTCTTTTATTTCTTTAGAAAATACAAACCGTCGTTCATGTCAACGACATTGTCCAATGCTTCCATGAGTTGATCAATGTCTTCTTCCGGATACATTTCACTCATTGCTTCTTCCAGGTTGTCCAGGTACTCTTGATACGATTCCAGATTCTGGAAATAAATCAACAAATAATACAATTGATCTCTTTGCACACTGTGGTGAATACTGATGATGAAAGATATAGCAGATATAGAAGTATTATAAAAGGACATAGTTTTCGTTTTTTAATTCAGCAATGTTTGTCGACATTACCTGATTCTTAAGCTGATTTAAGCTGTTCAGGTCTTCGTTGTCATACGCGGCGGCTGCACGAAGTGCCCATTTTCCAACTGTATGAATGGTTTTTCTGTAAAAAGTTGACAGTGTTCTTGTTTAGCCATGATTCATGACTTGTTTTTCAGAGTCCGAGGTTCATTACATCCGGATCTCTTAGGTAGAAATAATTTTGTAATTTTTCGAAAATGGACCTTCAAATATATATCAATGCTCTCAGCTTGCTTTACACTATTGCGTTATTATTCTTTTGCACAACACTTTACATTGTTGTGTGGAGGTTGTATTGTGATAGGGCTAGATATATATGAGTAAGAAATCAAACGTTGACCACAAATTTTATTACTTTCGAATATTGTTAACTTTTCACATTGATTGCTTTTAAATAAATATGCTTCTTTAAGTGCGATACGAAGTTTTCCGACCAACCTGTTTCTCTTGTAGAATTTGCCAACTTTCCTGACAGCTTTTTTAGCCCTTCCCCAGAAGCTTCTTCCTCTTCCCCTACCACCTTGTCGGCGTCTTCTGCGTCCCCATGAGTCACCAAGGTCGATTGTCAACAAGACAACGAGTAGCAAAATAGTGAGAAGCTTTAAATTCATCTGGATGAAATAAAATTTCGGCGAGTTAACAAAGAGGTTTGTTTATATACGCAAGTTTCAAAATTTTCAAACAGTTTTCACACCAACCTTAGAAGTTCCTGTTGAGTTGTATAGAAGATGATGTGCAGACTAGCTCGCAACTGCTAATTTATATAGTATTGGCAGTTGCGTATTTCATGAGTCATGCCTTAAGTAATTCAATATAATTCGGTTTGTTTTTCATTGTTACTACTTTTGGTATGTTTATTATACTTGTTCAGAAAATGAATATAACTAAAACAATCGTGACTGCTATTAACTATTTGTGATAATCAATAGAGCTCGGAACAACAATTCTGTCAGTGCTAATTTGATTACTGTTTTCTTTTTCAGCTAACGTTAAATTGACTTTTCTCTATCACGCAATATAAATAGGTCACCAGAAATTTGATGACGACACTAAATAATAAGCAATATAACCGCTGGACGGTCATTTGGTATAACAAGGTCTTCCACAGTTGTACTTTTCGTGCCTTTCTCGGCTCGAATGTCATAATAATTAGTATTCTTTATTCCATCCCTTTCTATCATTTCAATAAAACAACATCGCACAACCTTTCCTCGCTCATTGAGAATCGAAGGTACAACAAAATTAGTTAATTAAAAAGTTCACGACGATTTGTTGTCCGTCGATTTGACAGTCGCTTGTTTGACTGCCATTTTCTTCAATGGTCTCAATCAAAAGAACTATTTTTCAAGATACAACTTAATGGGTTTACTGATTCTGTTCTAGAACTCCAACGCCCCAACTAGTTCGGGTCTCATCTTTTAGCGCTCCCGTAGTATGTGCACCAAGTTGGCGGACACCGGAACGCAGCACATGCACCAGGTTAGGGTTAGCACATAATTATATTCCAATTTTTCTTATTTTGGTTCTATTACGAGTTCGGGGACTAGCCAAGTGACTCCCGTAGTATTTGTACCTGAATTTATGGCTTAACCCCAACCCTGCACACGCACCACGTTCCGGCGTCCGCCATCTTGGTTAACATACTACATGAGTATCTTGTTGAACCAACGAAGCGGCATCGTTTAGCTTTTCCCCACGCTGCGTCGAACGGGGAAAGACATTTCCCAAAGAGTTGATGGTCCCAAAATATGGAACCATTTTTATGTCTTGTCTAGCGGCATGAATATCAGTTTTAAGTGAATGATTGCAAAGCAAGACAGCGGGTTGTTACAAACTATACTTGCCCTATCCATGTGACTGACGGGGCATAGTCATACTGTTGCGTGGTCATTTATTTGTTCAACAACGATCGTGCGTAAATTTTGAGAGACACAGTTGTGTGCTCGTAAAACTCGCTTTTTACGAAGTTTAGCAAATGGGGCCCTCTAGTTTGGTAAGAATGTAAGTTTTATTTAACTATGTAACTACATGTTGTTCTTAACAATTGAAAATGCATGTTTAGAATACTGATAGGCTTACTATGTAATAGGATTATTTAGTTTTAAATAATTTCTTTATACAAATTTTACAGGGTGAGATTTCAATAACGAGTGATTTATTATCAATTTCATAAAAATCGTTGATGCATATTTATGGCTTGGGCAGTTAAACGTCGTGCACTTATCGTGAAATGTTCTATCACTATTAGAAAGTAGCCTATGTAACTGAAAATATTCTTGCAAATGATATTCTGATTACCAGTGACGGATCCCATTTTAATTTATCTGGCTTTGTCAATGAGTAAACTTTTTGGTACTAGGCAGGAAGAAACCCTCGAGAGCTTCCTAAAAAGCCTCTCCATAGCGAGGGCATGAGGGTGTGGTGTGCAGTTGAAGGAGAAAAAAACGGTTTTGCTTACTTCAGCTCTTTATGTGCGGATACTGCATGGTGTCAATATTTAAGAATTAAAATGCAAAAGTATCGTTTCGACTAACTTCCCATACAGCAAAAAAAAAATCAATGGATTGAGGACCCTTCACCTTATTTATTATTTCCTTATTATTTTCTGTTGGAGTAAATTAAAGGGCGAGGTGTACAAGAACCGATCAAGACCATTGATGGACTGGAAGCTGCTATTTGCAAAACAATGAATGGAATTCCACGGAAAATCACTCAGAGGGTGATGAAAATTTTCATGGTGTATTGCAGCTGTATGGAGTCATATTGAAGACGTTTCTTCCAAAAAAATGGCATCAAATGTCTTATTAAGTATGTAATGAAAATTTGAAAAAGCCTATTCTTGTCTATTTTTTACAAAATGAAATGCGTTGATTTGCCTCACGTTGTATATTGAATGACCGAATCATTTGAATGTAATGCCAACGTAAAAATGTCATTATATTGGTACATAATCACCTTGAAACCAATTATTTATTATGCTTATAGTAGATAATGTCGAATAATTTAGCTCAAAATGTTAACCAAAATTATTTACCAAGTTATATTCAGTGGAAATTGGAGCTCATTGGTATTATATTCCATAGAAAGTTTCAGTGTAGTATTTTGACAAATGTCGATATTGTTAGAAGAAATTTTATATTATTTGTCGAGACAAAAATATTCACTACGTGCGCTTTCGATAAACATATGTATCAAAGTTTTAAATAGCAGTCACTCATTCCACGCACAATATAAAGTTATACCGGCGCCTTTAATATAATCATCACGACTCTGCCCATCTAAAGGGGCAAGCAAAGTTTATTTAGAAATATAGTATGTAAATAATATCACCGTTTTGTTTAATGCCAACAAACGGTTTGCAAAGAGATTGAGCAGTTGCGCAAAATTAGAGGGCCGTAACTAATCAGTCTTTTATTTTTTCACCATCATGTATTAAGTCAAACAATGTAAATTAAAACAGCAACAACAAGAAAGAAAAAAAAACACTCATTACATACAAAAAAAGTGAGGTAATCATGAGAACGGCATTCTAAGGAAACGTAGATGCCAAGTACAGTACCGGCATCTGGGTACATAGTTTTGTAGTATACTGCTTTGTATGATTTAAGGAGTGATGTTCAGGTAGGAGCCGAGGTCGGCATGCACAACCGAATTTGTTCTACCGTGTTAAAATATATGACACAAAATGATGTATAAGTAATATTTCTCTGAAAATTTACATCAAATGTTCAACGTTACATAATTTTGTTTTAATACCTGTCCTTCATTAGTGATGCTGCAATGATTCTAGATCAGTGTATCTCAACCGCCGGGTCCGCGGCAACGTTGCTGCCGGTCCGTCAATTTTTTTCTATTATAAGCAAAATACAAAGTATTGACGGCATATCCATTAGTTTTATGATTTTATTTTAACTCCTATTGATTCGTAGTACCGGTATTCGTCTAACAACCGAACTTGGTAAGAAGTCCTCTGCCCATTTCAAACTCTGAACAGCTGGATGTTTGTTAAGTCTATGGCCTCATAACGGGGGCTAACGTCATAACGAAGGAGTTTGATAGCACATAGTTAGGGTTTTGTACTTTATCAATTCTGAAAAAACATCTTGTTTTAAAACAAGGGCTTGTATTGAATCATTTTTTTTCTATATTTTTTGTTAAAATACCCCTCGCATCGCCGTGAAACTACGCCAGAACGTTGCGTTCTGGCAGCTGCATACGCTGCCGGAATTATATTTTCAAAATGTAAGTAAAAATTCTTGCTTTGACTTCCACTTCTATTGCCTACATCTATTGCCAAGTATGTATCTATACCAAAGTCATACGATTTTAAGAGGAATATTTATCCGAGATACCAGAGAGACGTTTCGAGTGAGAAAAATCATGAAATTTATTTAATCAAGGCAGCCACCGGCAAAACAGGTGTGGTACGATAATGAAAAATATACTTACATCAGGGGCAACCTGAGTTAAACGACGAGACAGGCTATGTTAATTGCAAGACCCCTCAGATGCAATGATGTCAAAACTAATCTGGTATGACCCCATACTAAGAATTTTGGGTTTCTGTATTGACATTTTTCTCCTCAAATAAATGTATTATTACGGTCAAAACTGTTCGGTTAATTTATGCTTAGCAGACTTTGTTCTTAAGGTTGAAGTGAGAGTTTTTCAACGTTGTACAAACTCATTTATTTTTAGATAGAGTTTTTCGAAGGTATAAAGACTCATTTATTCGGTAGTATTTCAATTTTCGCAAAGTGGTTCTCGTCACAGGGTCGTTCACGCAATGTCTGGCAATTATCTGTTGCGTCTCCTTGCGCCAACCACGTTTGTGGACGCATTCGGGAACTGCAAAAGGTTGAGAACCACTGTTCTAGATTATTCATTACGTAAATTGCAACAATATTTATTTGCAGCATTCATTCGTGCATTTAGGCATATGCTGATACTGTTTGCAGAAACTTATTAATACATTTTTCTGGTAAATATTAAATACTTTTGTTTATTCATGCATTGAAACATATGCTGTTGCTGTAAGTAAAAGCTTATAAATATATTGAATACATATATATAAACGATATTTGCATACATTCACAAACATATGGAACAGTTTATGGAAATAGTTCATTCTAGGATAAACAAATAAGGAGAGTTCAATCCAGTTGAAAATAAGGAGGGATCAGTTTAATTATTTTACTGTCAAGCTGCCAAGCTTGGTATATTCTCAAATATCTAAATGCTTTTATCTTATGCGATGCCGAATGGTTTAATTTTAATTGTGGGGGGGGGGGGGGGTCGAGGTTCGTAACAGTCCGTTTGAAAAAATTCTACCTTCTACTTAAACACAACGGCGTCGTTATATGTACGGCGCATCACGGTTTGCGGTCCAAACAATATTATTCAGTGCGCGTTACAACAATTTAATCGTCCTCCCGATATGTTATTGTTTATAGTTGGCCCTGACGATGATGCTTTTTTTCGTGATAATTCTGACATTTAAGTTAGACACCTTTACTCTTTGACAAGCGATTGCGCAATTTTCAGCATCTAGTGATAAATAAAATTATTTAAATCGCACGGTATATTGCCAACTGTAGCGGCATCGAAAGAATGGGATTTAAAAATATATCACAAAATGATATCATTCTTCGACGTTTGAAACCCTAAATAGCGATTGTCGAATCCGCGATACATAACAATGTGTAATTGTCAGGCTTGTCCATGGGACATATTTTTCTGTCCCCCATCCCATCCCATGGTAATTATGCCTGTCCCATTCCATAGGATTCTCATAGGAACAAAATTCAATAAAAATTGTAAAATTTAGGTTTAGTGTCTACTAAATAGGACTCCATGTACGAAGAGACATGCAAAACAAAATTTACGAACTTTGGGGGGGGGGAGGGAGGGAACTTTGGAGGATGCGAAATTGAAGCATTGTTACGTCACTTTTTGCATCCTGCTGATTGGCCAATGTCGCGAAGTAAACAAGGAAGTCGATGCTCGGGTAAAGGTCCATTGAGTTATATATCATACAGCAGGGGTCGGCAACCTTTTGAACCCGGCGTGCCAGTATATGAATAATGAGCACTTTCGCGTGCCAAACATTTTTATGTGTATGGTTTGCATAGCCAACTATACGTGATTTGAATAGTAAGCGGATGAGAAACAAATTCATTTTATTGGATAATGTGCATGGAAACTAGTGTACGTACGAGAGATTTCGTCATACGGCATTTCTACATCCGACCTGTCTTTGGACGACTTAAGTAATAGATATTAATTAAGGCCACTCGCGATTAGTTTTGTAGCCAGAAACAATGAAATCGCGATAAATACTGAAAAAGATAAAATTTATTTTGGTACTCCCGTAGTATGTGCACCATGATGGCGGACACTGGGACGTAGTATGTGTACCAGGTTGGGGTTAGGCCATAATTTCAGGTACTAATACTACAGGAGTTATTTGGCTAGTCCCCAAACTCGTAATACAGTAATAGAACTGAAATAAGAAAAATTGGAATAAAATTGTGCCCTAACCCAAATCAGGTACACATTCTACGTTCCGGTGTCCGCCATCTTGGTGCACACACTACGGAGCGCCTTTATTTCATCGTTTTTGTTAGGGTTACATGTAGCTCACGGTGGAATGATGAAAATCAGCCAGGCGCGCAGTCAGGATTTTCGGAAGGGGGAGTTTCAAAACCGAAAATTTCCATTCCCTTATGGAACAGTCGCCACGATTACGCACTCGTTAAAAAGGCAGAGTTTTTCAGCGTATACCAACTTTTCTCTCCAGTAAAATATTCATTTTATGACAGCTACGAGAGTCTAAAACTTTCTTCTATATTGATATAATTTTGTGTCCAACGTAACTCGCGGTTACGTCTTCTTGCGTCAAAATATAAACATTATTAGTCTGAAATACCACTCAATCTTTTGATGTAAAAATTTGAGATAAACATGCCTAATGGTTAATTGTATTTAGTTTCGATTGATTGTGTAATACCTCTCAGCGAATTTCAATTCTGGGCAAAAATAAAGGAATTATTATCGTTGTCGTTAAATAATTGTTGTGATTCAGGGAAAATAAACACCAACTAAAAGTGTTTACGGCCTAAATAACACGTCACGCTTATAAAAACAATTAGGAATTTCAGCAAAAAGCAATCGCACGAGGTATTTGCGACTTTTTCAGTTTTCCAAAAATTTGAAAGGAGGGGGTTATTGACTGCACACGCTTATCTACATCGATTTTGGGTACAGATTTCGGCCTCTCGTCGATTGCAGTTAAATATTGTATGTTTTTTCAATGAATTTGTCGATTTGTTATTTTTTGTTCAATTGTAGAATGTTTGTCGCACTACGAAAATAAATATATGAATATGGCTCAAATTGCTTGGCGTGCCATGAGAAATCCTCTCGCGTACCACAATTGGCACGCGTGCCAGGGGTTGCCGACCCCTGCCATACAGTATATATATTATACGATACACAGTATACATATACACCTCAATCATAGTTAACTTAATATAGTTGGTTCACGCTTTTTTTGTCTTTGTTTATTTATGTTACACAGTTCTCTCGTTACGCTTGAGTGATGCGCCATGGTATTCTCTCAACACGATATTGTGGCGTGTGTGTCTAAGGAGGGGTGACCGTATATTTGAACCCATGTGTATATGCGCGGGTTCAATCTATATGCGGGTGCTAAAATCCATGGGTTAGGGTTAGTATGGGTTCAAATATCCGTAAAACTAAAATTTTTCCCATAGGTGCAATAGTATACAGGTGCAATTGGCGTGGGTTCAAATGTATTGGAACCCTAAGGAGGATGTAGGTTATCGGACTGATATGATATGATCGTTATATATTGTTTGAATGACTTGTGCCTTTGACAGAAAACGATTGCTTCTGAGAGCAAAACTCATATATATATTAATATCTTAGGACAAGTTCATTTCTGTTACCAAATTTTAATTTCCAGTTATCATCCCAACTTTTTTAATTTATCGTCGACTAAAATACCGTCCGACACCCGGCCAGGCGTGTGTCGCTCTTAAGCGATAGGAAAGGATTCATCAGCGAATCGAAATCCAAGATATATGTTGGGAGCGCAAAAATAAACAAAGCGCATTGTTTTGTGTTATAACTTCGTATTTTGGAAACCTGATGTCGTGAAAAGCAAAATTTGATCTAAATTAATCGCAAATAATGTTTTATCATCTAACGTCGAGTATTCATCATTTTCCGGGAGAACTCGAAAAGTCATTTAATATAAAATAAAGAATGTTATACTATTCCAAAAAAATAAGATTGTTGCATTCGAAAAATCGATGATAATCAATAAAATGGTGCAATAACGCCGTCTTCGGGTTCTAAATATTCAAACTGGGATTACGGTTTTCGATATCTGACGCAAACGCGTTTGCGAGCTCTTTGCAAGAGTATAATCACGCGAGACAGATTAATAAATTATAAATCCGAAATACAAAATCGGCGCCGAAAACCGAGTCCCGGGGATTCAAATCCTCCGGATTCGGTATTCTTTATTGCCCATCCCTACCTGGGAGTAACTGAATTCCTACTTTTGTGCTATTATCCTGGTATAAACCTTCAATTACCATCCAATAAATGCAATCACAGAAAATCAGAAATACTCTGCCCCTACTCCACTTTGATAGCTTATGGTACCGAGTACCGACGCAGAGATGATTGGCAGATGCCACGACCTCCTACTTTATCCTAATCCCTCAGTATATCTATGTATATCTTTTCAGTTATTTCAACCAACAAAACCATTTCAAATACGCAAATAAATTCAAACGGAAATCCTCTTCCGCAAGCTTCATAATATAGCAAACTGATGACGTAGTAACGCATCACTCATGGGTAGTGAGCCGACCGTGGGCGAATTATGACTATTTTCAGTAAACTATCATGCTTAATGAAACCATGCTCAATGATCCCCCGAGTCCCGACTAATGAAGGCAGCGCCAGTGGCCTCAACTTAGCGCCACGAAATATTTGGAACATGCCCAATTTCGTGATTTTAGGTCATTCTTCATCTTTATGACTTTAAACATTTTTGGAATTAGAGCAAAGCGTATATATAATACAAGCGAGGCAACGCTCTGACAATGGACGCCATCTTGTGCCTATTGTTCTCGGCCATATAACACGGCGCCTTATGGGAAGTTCTCACACAATTATTGAAACATACATAATATTTTCATTAATATTTTAGATAGAAAGATTTTGAAGGTCGCATTTTGAAGTAGAAGCTTAGGCGAACATGATGATATACTTTCATGTTTGCTAAATTACATTTATAGTACATTAAATTGTCTTTAAATACAAGTATGCCGGTTTCGAGTTGCTTCCGAAGTAAGTTGGCCATTCTCATCGTCATAATTGACCATTTGACAATAGCGTTCTTTGTGATGTCACAGATGGACAGTTGTATTTATTCGTCGAAATTACCTCGGGACTCAAATTCGCTTCAATGGCCGTTTCCATTTTCGGGTCAACATTTTCTCGCCTGTCAAGTTCCATAATGCCCGCCTGCTCAGCTCCGAGCTGCGCTAGAAGACCAAATGACATTGTAGGATTGTTGCGGTGGCATTATACTCCGTCAAATCGGCGTATCACTCTAAAAGTTTCCAAAAAGATGACCAAAAATGGTTCTACGTTGTGTTTGTGGCCAAATTTAACGCATTAGATAGTTTTTTATTTTTCATTGCGTTATATATTTAAGTAGCATATAGCTTAAAGTTCAAAATCCACCCTTCGGCTTTATTCTAGCCCTTATAACAGCTGACTTATTGGATTCGGTACAACAACACGACGAAAATTTCCCATAAGACTCCATTGTTTCGCGTTTTCCCAATATGGCACAAGATGGCGTCCATGAACCTGTTTTACATTAGGCAAGTTGGTTGCCGGCCCTTGAATTAGAGGTCATAGTCTTGCTTATTTGACGTGTTACCGTACTACTTACTAGGATGACAGGCACGATTCGAATCAGGGAAATGAGGCCAGAAGACAGTGATTTTGCTGCGAAGTTACTTGTTACTTGTTTTAGGCAAGTTTTTTCAAGGAAATACCTAATTGAGATTTTATCAAAGTTAAACGTTGCTACATTCTGACATGTGCTACAGCACTCTGGCACTCCAATCAATGAGGTTCAATTATAGAACTTAGGAAAAACCGGTACTAAGTCAGTAAGTGTTGTGCTTTCCTGGTACCGTAGCCTACTTGACATTCAGCCATTCTAAGTACGGTAGTCTAAGATTGGAAGAGGTCAAGGCTAGAATTGAACAGTAGATCGCACCTGACTAAATGCGATTTATAACCATAAGTATTTTACATTTCATGCAAGTCGATAAGATAGGATTTACATATTTATCCCGGGGAGGGGAAAGGCAACTTAACCATATGGCGAACCACAGTCCCTTTGTCCAGTTACCAATCCAGTCAGTGAGTCAGATATGGGATTAGTTACGTAGTTATTTTCGGAAGCATGGTGGACTTGATAGTGGAGGAAGCCGTTACCGGTACCTACTTTACTTTTGTGACCGGTGGGACAACGCACTTCACACAAACATGATTCACATTGTAGTGGATATTGATAAATTTGTTTTCATATAGAAAAACTTTTGAATGGGCCGTTGGAGAGAAAAATTTGAATGGAGTTATAAATATAGAAAAGCGTTCAATGCAAAATGCACCATCGTGCTATTACAAGCATTCGTTAATTGCCACCATATCCGATCAACTTGTTGGTGTTTGTGTTCTCAAGATGAAAAGCGACAGGTTAGAATTAGCATTGAATGGAGTACAGTAATAATAATGATGTAGGTATTTATGCAAAGTAACAATTACATCATGTCATAGAGCTCACGGTACAATACAGCATTCAATTGTAATTATATATTTGAATACAGCAATCCTAATGAGGGAAGTTTTTGCTACACCTATTCAAATGTTGGATGTCGAGGTTGCTGTGGGTAAGTTTAGTTGGTCATATTATTAGATAAAAAAAATTGTTCATAATGTTCAATGAAACAAATTAATTTATGAGTGCCTAAAAATATGTGTTTTACAATATAGCTTAATCTTCATTGCCAAAATATAAAACTGTCTAAAGTATGGTAATTATAACAGCCAGAACACAACATGCCATTTATGTTAATATTTAAAGGAAATGCATGTCTCATACAAGTTTCAGTATTCAGGTACAAGTAATGTCTGAATTTATTCATTTAGTGAAAGAGAGTCTTGAAGAGCATCAATCAGCCTCAGATATATGAGAGTATTGAATTTATACAAGTTTTCTTAGATGAGATGCATTAATTTTAAGGTTGTGGTGTATGGGAGTTTGTTCATCGTACTTCATGCATGAAAATTTGTTTGAAAAAAGTTCATCATGTTACTTAGATGTAATATTTGTTCATCCAGAGTTTCAGCAACGCGGCATTGGTAGCCGCCTTCTTTGTGAAGCTGAGGTCAAAGCTGCAGAGTCTGGGTGTAATGTGAGTGTTTGAAAACAAATATTGAAAAGTTGATATCAATTTTACAATCAGTGTTTGAGTTTTATGTATTTTTGCTTCTCCAGAAAATATACTTGTGGGTTGAGGCAGATAATTATCAAGCTATTCACTTATATAAACGACAAGGCTATTCGGTAATCAGAGATGTTGATGGAGTATGTTTTACCTATTGTGGTTTGGGATCAAGATACTATTGCAAGATGGAAAAATATTTATAGTTGAAATGTTATAATATGCTGTATTACATTTGCACGTTGAATATTGTTATTTTTAATACCTATATTGGATTGATAAAAGTTAATTTTGAAGAGATTCAATGCATTACTCTTATCTTTGTTTCTTCTATAGCAGATTATAGACGAAGTTTTAAAGTCCCTCATTAAGTGTTATTGCATATTAACATTTACTATGCTATGCTAATTTTTCAGTGTAATTGTTCATGCTGTTCAGAAATTCTCTAGTAAGGCGTCTGATAAGGCATAGAATAAATATACAGATATTTTATGTGCAAAATAAATTGTTATATGCGGAATTGTCACCATTAAGGCATGCGCAACTGCCTTTTTTGTCTTGCCTAAGATGGATGCTGAAAACTGTGACAGGCAGCATGAATCAAGAAATGACGTTGCCTTGTATGTTCTCAAAGGTTAGAAAACTGCTTATAGCAGTATTATTGGCTAATTTTTCACCACTTGTTTAATGCATTGTAATTGTAACTCCACTATTTTAAGAGTGTGTTATGCAAGATTGACACATATATTTGATCTATTTTATATTGCCTTTCTGGCTTTCCATACCCAGTTGCGTTATATGTTTAAAATTGTGCATAATTTAGTGGCATGTAACAAGAATAAAGACATCCTGAAAGTATGAATGAAGATATATATATATGTCATTGATTTTCTTATAAATTTGTGTCTAGAGAGCCTATAACAATGGGATTGACCAGAATGATAGGTTGCCTAAATCATGTGAATCTGAGATGGCACAGAAGCAAGGTCACCAGACTCCAAAACCCCCAGGATATAAGGATATTTATATCACTGTTACATCAGCTCGTGCTGTCACCATTGCCAACAAAGCATTTTCCCTAGGAACTAAAAAGTTGAACGAGCTATTTTTTGATGGCTGTATCAGGTTGAATGGCAAAAGATTACAAAAGAAAAGTGTGCAGGTATGACATGGTTTTGAACACTAACTGCACATATTACGGATCGTCATGCGAAATTCTTGTTAAGAAAAATAGCCTTTCTCTGTGACTAATGAACCAATTAATTCAAAATATTCTGGTTCGAAAGATGAGGTCAGTAGGTTACTAGAAGATTATTGGTTTTTCCAAATCTTCTCAACAATTCTATGGGACCTGACACTCGATATTGTGCTGATGGGTATGCTGTTATTTTGATTAAAGGGGAGTGCTTTTTTAGCCCTTCGCGTTCCCGGCAATTTTTTTCCGAAAACTCTGTGCTCTCACCAACTGGTGTTAATGTGCAACCCTTGTTTCCATATATTCAGGCATTGCTCTTTTGTTTTCTCATGATGTACTTGGTTATATTTCCTCCTCTAAGTCCATTTCTTATTGGGGTGCTGCAACTGCTTTATTCATTCTTCTATTTTCCTGAATCTAGGCTTCCACAGGAGATGTTATTGATGTGATATTAGAAACATCTGACACCGAAGTGATATTGCAAAGAGTTGAAATATTGGTAGAAGATGATGCAACTGCAAAAGGGAATGAACGTTTTTATATGAGAAGATGGAAGAGATTAAAGCTGCCATTGTTGGATAATAATAAAGAGCCATGATATTTTATTTCTCAGTATCCTTCATACCATTTGTGTTGATTCAAAATCTGCCAGCTCGCAGAAGTGATGATTCAAATAGTTGAATATTGCAGTAATTATCAGTTTCTATACATGCAAAAAACTGACATCTCGGGTACAAATCATCTTTATAATGTACAATTTCTTTAAAAATGATTTCGTCATCGCAAATTTATCTTCTATGGCGTTTAATTCAAAAGAATATCACTAAGTGTATTGGTAAGAACCAAACAAATGTGAAAAATAATTGAAGTACTAAAATTGGTGATTATAAAAATTTGACAATGGTAAATTTATAATCAGTTTTCGGTCGAAATGTATTGTTCACGATTTTGTTGCAAAGTCGTCTATTCAAGGTCCGCAGTTGATGCTTTCTTTAAGCTATCTTGTAGTAGGATTTGCACATAAATAAAATTTAATAACGAAATCTGTTTTACTAGATTACTTTCATATGTCCGAAGTACGCTGCATATCTCTTGCAGTAGGTCGAAATAATTTTGATAGACAACGGGATAAGATCACTCGAAATTGCTTTGTAACCATTGTGAGGTAATAAGCTAAAACATATTTTAGTTAGGAACAACATAACTTTTGTGCAAAACGTTCCAGATTTTCCGACACTTTTGGGTACAAACATACGCAACCAGAAGTTGAATATTTCACTCCATTTTCGAAGAAGTAATTGAGAAATTGATAGTTTAGTTTTTTTGGGGACTACGATGTATAATTCTATTTTTAATATAAATCAGTTAAATATGCCGCCTAAGACACTGTATTCGAAGGTTTGAACTTACGGAACACAAATGATGAAACAACACGCTAGGTCTTTGCCGTTTTCCAATTTACGTATTACATATGTAGCCTTATTATTCGATGACTCAAAATATAAAAATGAACCAGTTAAGTCGCAACGTGGTGATGGTCCTATCTGGCATGCGTCAGTCCAGCCAAGCTCTCCCGTGTTGCTCTTAACAAAACCAAAATTGTAACATAAGTGTGTTGTACCTACACTACCGCTTCAGAGAAAAAAAAGTAGAGCCCGATAGTATAATAAAGCTGTTATTCAATACAACGAAACGTGCAGTGCATGCTGTAGGAAGCATATGACCTAGACTCAGTGGCGTAGCATCCACCCACACGGTCGCGGGAAGGCCCAAGCGGTTAGAATTTAGAAATTTAAGCCGCAAAAGCTGCATTGCAAAACCAGTTATGCACATCTTATAGCGTTGATGTTAGTTCTGCTCAAATCGGTTTGTTACGTAACAATTCCAGGGAGTCGTCGATTTTCGGCGTCATGTGGTTTGATCGCACCGGCAAAATTACGAAGGCTGTCAGAATGATGTCGAAAGCAAAACCTCTCAGTGGCGCACAGAAATGCAGAAGAGGAAGCACGTATGAACAAAATTAAAGTAACCAAGATAAACGGCAAATGTTAGGTTACCATTGCCTTTTAATAGCGACATGTTATGCTTTTTGACGAAATAAAAAAAAAGCGTTGTTTTAGCTTATGTCCGACAGTTTTTAGAGTCATTTCCACGAAATATTTTTGCGGGGGGGGGGGGGGGGGGGTTGGGTCCACTAGAGTCATGCTACGCCACTGCCTAGACTAGTATTGGTATGAGACAATGTGGATTTAAATAAAGCCATAATACCTATTCTACGTTAAGCGAGAAATTTCCAACACTGTAATCACAAGCAAACTAGTTTGAACCAAAACATAGGAGTATATGACCTAAAATTTCACACTTCTTTTGAGTTCCCGTATTATTGTCAGCGCCCCTCAATCGCCCAGTTTGTCAGCCAACGCCCCCCAATTGCCCAAATCGCCATCAGCGCCCCCCAGGTTATCGCAAACGCACACAAGGGGGCGTTTTCGCCCACCTTGGGAACCGCTGGGCTAAAGTGTTTTCCCCGAAATTCCCAGCCTTAGATATCAGTAATCCATTCGCACAATATTAATCACCAAAGAATGCGAGCTACCGCAGAGTTGTGATGCGAAGGCAAGCTTGTAACTGACGCTAGTTCGATGACAAAACCGTCGACATTTGGAGTGATTTTCAACATGTAAAATTTTTTTTCGTGCCAATTTGTTGTAATAAAATATAGTTCTATAATTTGAAGTATGGGTCATTGCCCCTAGTCGGATTTCTGGAGATGTATACGGATGTTACCTTTTTTGATAAAATCCATAAATTTGAGTATATTCCAAATTTGAACGATAGAGTATTCGTTCCTGCGTCTATTGAATCCAAAAACTAGTATGGTTATCAAACCGCCACGAACGCTGGATTAGGACCACATGCTAGAACACCGTGAGAATTTCCGAACAATGACGAACAAATTTTTAGTTGCGTAAAATACGAAATCTTAGTTACAGAATACGCATACTAATAACCCATGTAGATACACTTTTCGTTGAATGCGTTGTTTCGTTGTTTTCCGCTAACATTGTTAGCGAACGTATCATATGTAAAATCAATTCTAATCGGTCCTGTTCGGACGTTCGCGTGAATGTAACATTGAACAACGTCTTTTTAGAGGTGTTATCCAAAGAAAAGCATGCTTGGGCGAATAAGTAAATTTCAATGCTTAGAAATGGCAGACTAATTCAATATTCTTTATTTCTTTTGCTGTACATAAAAAATCTAAATTTGGATCATTTGATTCATTAGCGTCTATTCCTTTCTATTTTTCGAACTGAACCCGACATTCAGACAGAGAATATGCGCATGAACTCTGGATGACAATACGGTCAATGAAGACAGCCGAGATGGCTTTAAATGCAGGCCTATGTAGTGAAATAGGAAACTGTAAAATTACAGGATCACAGCTAACGGGTCGTGTCTTTGTAGGCGCCCCGCTTTGAAGTCAAAAAATATGGTAACCCTGAGTATATACCGATACTTAAAACAAAAACTGTTTAACTAAATTAGCGTATTTCGTGTTCAAAGGTAAAAGGGGCAGAGTTTTTCGACAAGTTATTCATTCGAATGTATACATTTAGTTTTTTTTTCGTTTCCTGTTACACAAAGTCGATTTGCTATATCGAAGATGGAAATTCTTTTATCTGCAATATTGCTTCACGAATTATAACGAATCAGAGTAAATAGGCGAGTTCACATGTTCAACCGTAATCCATCCCATACGCGTCGGCTGATTGATTAAAGTGTATTTATTTATATATACTGCAATAGCATATCAACAACCAGGGTATATATAGGCAACAATTTGAGGAAATCAGTCAAAAAAGCTGACAAAGCAAATATATATATATATATATATCCTAGTGAGTCGCAAGTCGGGCCATTGATGATCTAATATATCTCTTTTCTTCCACCAATTACTGACGAACCATACAGGACAAAGAGGATTGCAGCGCGGGTTCAGTATTGTGCAAATTAACAAACAACAACGCGGACGGAAGGATAACGTTGCTGACAAACCGAGACTGAATCAACAAAAACATTATGAGACAATGAACTAAATTGAAAAATAGTTGAACTGTGGTAACGGGCTTTGAAAACGATAAAATTATGAATATGATCTGCGTTGACGAACAAATGGAAAGAAATCTTTTAGAACAACGTTATATAAATATGGTGTGGGACCAAACTGAAGAAAACAACGAACAAATGGGCAGTTTGACCTAAATACGACAAACACACGCTCCATTCTGGGCCTCCAGAAGTATGTGCACCAATATGGCGCACAACCTGAACATAGTATGCGTACCAGGTTAGGGTTCAGGTTGTGCGCCATCTTGGTGAACATACTTCGAGAACACCCTATTCTGAATGATAGAGGACTTGGATCCGGATCCAGATCTTCAACTCACAATATAAATAAGTTTAACCGCTTGTGTGTATACCTGTTTTACATTCTGGATTTCGGTGGAATTTTTCTCTTCATAGATAACTGTTAGTCTTGATATGTACCTATTTACAAATACATTTATCAATATATATTTCATGAATACGTATTCTTATATATTTGGTATATATTATACTGTATATATATTTCTCGCTGAAAAATTGATATATATATATCAAGTTTCCTTTTTTTACTATTATTTTACTTTATTCAGTGATTGTAGCGATGGATATAGATTCAAACGGTTAGTGCTCGAAATAATGATTGCGGACATCGCCATTCTACGACATCTGATCATTAATGTTGCCAGGCAGGAATGACATAACAACAACATTATTATTCTGGATCCGCGGGCAGGATTCGACCCAGCGCACTCCGCTTTAAAATACGAAAGTTTAAATGAAGAAATCAGCTCGCCTAATTAACTACTGTATTTGTCACGATTTTTATCACCCGAAATTTTTTATTTTTGTCGTGCTCGATTTATTATCCAATCATGAAAATTGTATAATAATAAAATAAGGTACTCATTAGTAGAGAGGAATATTGATTAAACATACATTGGATTTTGTATCATCATGATTCGGTATAAATTTATAGCGGTAATTTCAATAGCGCTCGTTTGAAACCGACCGAGGATAAAAAGGGCACATTGCGCACAAATTGTAATTTTCATCTCCAGTGCGTGCGGCATCGTTTGCGTTGGTAAACAATCACAATCCGTGATGTTTGCACATCACATAAAATAGCATCAGGATTAAATTTTTAATGGAAATTTATGATGCTTTTTTATTGTGCGTGATATCGTTGAAATTTTTAATGAGCATAACAAAGAACACAAATTTCAACATTTTTTCGTCCTCGTCACAAAAATGAAATCCCGCAGTCGTTTGTTGCTAAATTTACGTTAGGAGGTACATTCGGAAGCAGAAATATGTCAGTAAGCCCGAAAAGACATAAGGATTGGTCAAATTGCTGAACTTATAGGGCAGGGTCTTTCAATCTCAGTATTTCTCCATTCTTAGTCAGAAATTTGGGCTAAATTTAATTTACCTAGCAAATAAAGTAAAAACTTTTAAAAAGTCCCAGCAGTCTCACCACTTTTTGCTGTCGAGTGTGTGACTAAAATTTAACCTAAAGTGTAAATAAAATATTTCTCCGAGTGCGTGGTATTTCTAATGGATACACAGTATTGGCAGCACTTGATTGGCTTCATATGCATAATTTAGTCAATAAATGCGTGGATTCTCCGTATATGATGTTATTGCATTTATTAACACCGAGACCCAATATTTCACGCCAAATTTTGCTATTTTATTTAAATTCATGGGAGTATCCGAGAACACTTTATTCCGCCACTTTCATCCATCTTCCTCGCGCTTATCCACCAATCTTACTTGACACGAAGTGGACCTTTTTGTGTCGTTTTGTTAAATTGTTGTTGTGAAAATATCACTTTTCTCTTTACCTACTGGACCAATTGCTTTGAAATTTTCAGTGTTACTTTTTTTTCGAAATTTCTGTGCGCTCTATGGGATTCGTTTTTTAGCAAGTTTTGTGTGATGACGTCATCGAAATAGAAATTGCGCACCATGTGGCGGTTCCGCGATCGCATTTCAGCGATCAGGTGGTTAGCGAAGTCGGGAGTTTTTTAATAAAGGAAACTGCCGCTGTGAAATATTTGATATCACTTTGTTATGGCCTTCGTACCATATATTTGAGCATTGCTCTCTTATTTATTTATATTATTAAATGATGATACCTTTGTACCTCTGCAGTAACTATAAACAGCCCATCAGATCAATTGTAATTATTAACCGTGTTAACTATTACCGGATATCCCCGGTAATGGTATTTCATAATGAATAATTTCCGTTGTTGACCGCAATGATATTTTTCAAAACTTCTTTGGGTTGAATGCTGCT